TCAAGTAAAAGATCAGTGCCTCCTATAAGAATCTGATGTGCAATTTCTTGATTCCAAGAGACCCTTCCCAAGTGGCAGAGCTCCTTTCCAGCTTAGGTAGTTACTTGGTTATAGTATTGTTAATTCATATAGTCCCTAAGCAATAAGACACAATAGATGGATGGTGTTTGTTTATTCTAAATTCTATATTTCATGACATTAGATTTGAAAGCTTAACATTTACCCAGCTTGTTGTACTAGAAGCTTCCTTAGTTCTATAGAGGTGGTCTCAGAGTTTACTAAAAGTTTTTTATGCTGGGGTTATGAAACAGATTAAATGTTCAGCTGGGATCATTTACAACAGAAACGCTCTATCTCCATATAGGTAGCCTCCAACTCACAATCCTCTTATCACTTACATAGAAAGAGCCTACCCTACTTTAGTTCCCTCCTTCCCGTAAGGGAAGAGGTTTCCCTAACATAACTATGGGAGTCTGGTGAGAAAAATTCCACAGGAAATACGTGAGTTTGGAAAGTGGGGAAGAAATGGAGCTGTGAAACCTTGGAAGAGCCAGGGGCATCTGACCCAGGGGCATGATCCCAGGCAAGCCTGGCCTGCCTACGTGCTGACCAACCAACAGTGAGGCCCAAAATAGCCTGCCCACAAGAGCTGCATTTCTCTCACTCCTCGTATGCTTTTGTGCTGCTGAAATCCCACCATTTAGAGCAGCATCCTGGCAGATGTCACAGCGGAAGAAGGGAATTCACTGGGTGCCCAGGGAGGGCCATTGCAAGTAGGAGGGTGGCAAGTGACAACTATGATCCCTATTTATAGAGCAGAGGGTTTACAAAGCAATATCTAATTTAACCCTCACATCAACCCATGAGACAGGTTTACTGTTATGACTATTTTACAGGGGAGAAAACTGAAGCTTAAGGGACGTTAAGTAACAGCTTAACATCTCAGTTTAGTGGCAAGGCTGGGGTCCAAATCCTAGTCTGGTCTGAATGTGTTACCTTGAGCTCTTGCTTGCTGAACCTTCCTGATTTCTTGTTCCATTCCCTCCTTTTGCAGATTATGGGATGTGGCCCCCAGGGCAGAGACTCTCACTTGATCATATTGTGAATGACAGTTCAGTTATATTATGGTTTACATAGGTTTTTGTGGCTACCCTGAAAACCTGATAGCTTAATTTAAAAACTTGTTTCTATAGGAAATTTTGTGACCTGCTAACAAACTGGTAGACTATAATCCCATATATTACACTAAATTGGAAATTACTTGTAATTACAACTTAACGATGCTCAATGTCATTTCAGTTGGTTTTTAGCTGCACAAAAAGTTAAGCCCACCTTACTGGACTGAGGTTTCTTTATGTTGGATTTTTCATTCCACCATACATGTACATTTACTAGAAGGTATGTTCCGTGAGAGCAGGGACTTTTGTTTACTAGGTGTATCAAGGTATCCCTAGCACCTAGGACAGTGCCTGCCACAGGCAGGCATACATGTAACTATTTGGTGAATGGATGTATGCATTTAGATGCAAATTTTTTAAACTACATGCATTTTATGCTTTTACTTATGAAATACATTTAGAGTTGAGATAGGGAATATGACTATGATGTACTAACTTTCAATAAATTTAGACAAACTTGTGAACCATGGTCTAGGCCGTTAGTTCAAGACCTTCCTCCCATATAAAGTATCCTTCCCTTCCCATATAAAGTGCATTTCAGTTGTTTGGGGGAAGCTCTGATCCCAGCTTCAGACCTGCCTCCTGCGATTATGGAACTGTGGCACACTCTAGACGAACTGCTTTGCCTCTTTCGGTTTCAGGACTAGAGGGGTTTCCTTTCAGCTTGAAAATGCTATGACGGCTGGGCGCGGTGGCTCAAGCCTGTAATCCCAGCACTTTGGGAGGCCAAGGCAGGTAGATCACGAGGTCAAGAGATCGAGACCATTTTGGTCAACATGGTGAAACCCCGTCTCTACAAAAATACAAAAAATTAGCTGGGCATGGTGGCGTGTGCCTGTAATCCCAGCTACTCAGGAGGCTGAGGCAGGAGAATTGCCTGAACCCAGGAGGCGGAGGTTGCAGTGAGCCGAGATCATGCCATTGCACTCCAGCCTGGGTAACAAGAGCAAAACTCCATCTCAAAAAAAAAAAAAAAAAAGAAAAAAAGAAAATGCTATGACATTTGCAAGTTTCACCTTGCAGATTCCTCATGCCTACTCTAATCGCCCTTTGGACACAATAGTGGCAAAAAGCAAAATAAATGAACAAAGATAGCGAAAGAGAAAAGTCTTAGGTGTCCCAAAAGTCAAATCACAAGTCCTTGAGTTTATGCAGGCTAGAAGTTGCTACAGGAGGCAGCCGTGGGCCATTTACTTTACAGCCAGCCTCTAGGCAAGCCCATTGGCCAATTATGAATTCTATTTGGTTATCTATTCTGAATGTTTCATTTAAACTGGAACCAGCAGGACACCTGCAATCTCAAAGGTGAGTGTGCAAACTGTATATTCCGGTCCTCCTGTGAAAAGCACAGAATGACTGTTACTGTGGCAAGAAAGCTCTTTTGCTCAATCATTAAGTTACAAGCATTTGGAAGGAAGTAGAGGAATCGGAATTTATGATACTTTCTATTTTTTAGTGAAATGTGGTGACTTAATGTTTTTCTACATAAGCCTTAACCAGTTGCACTGTGTACAGTGCAGGATATAAATGTCAGCACTGTGACAGGGGCGTGTTGACACTGGTTGAGAGTTCAAAGTCTGCATACTGTCATTATTTTGCCTTCCTTGCGCTGACAGCTTGCTACTGAATCAAACATACCTGGAAAAGAGTCAATTTGGCTTAGAATGCAGCTCAGTTTCTCTTTGGTAACATTTCTTTTTCTGGTTTCCTCTAGGATCTATTAGGTCTTTCCATTGACAAAACACAATGGGGTGTGTTCTGTCGTTCAAATGTAAATAGTGAGAATCTTGTTCATTGATGACATAGCATCAGTTCTGGAAAAGGGAAGCAATCCGTCTTCCCCACAACATGCCCTCAACCCCACAATCTGTGCTAACTTGCTTGCTTTGTGACTGTACCTTATGTGAGCCACAGATTTTCTTGGATATTATCAGTCTGTAGTGATTCATGTCTGGCTGTACATTAGACTCATCTGGGGAACACCTAAAAACTCAGGTGCCTGGGCCACACCCCAAACCAAGTAAATCAGAATCTCCTGGGGTGAGATGTAGCATCAGTATTCTTTAAAGTTCCCTAGGTGACTCCAGTCTCTTCCCAGGAGACTCTTACCAAAGGACTTTGTGACAGGAGCATAAAGGCCAAGGGGCAAATCATAGCCGCTGGCATTGTGGAGCAGAAAGGCCTCTCTTCATGGTACAGTTACAGAGTATTTATTGAGCTCGAAAGTAACTTGCCCGAAAGTCACACAGAGTTAGTTGAAAACTGAGCCAGGAGCCAGAGCCAGTATTAAATGAGCCTAGTTAAACAGGACACTAATATGGCAATTAAACCTCCATGAATTAATCAGCTTTGTAATCAGGCACAGTCATTTTTCTCTTGGCAATGTCTGGGTTAGAGAACTATTATCTGCCACCGTGTTCCTGTCCCTCTTGTCTAGGCCCTTTGAGTGAATGAATAGCCAGTTTTGGAAGACCTGGCACTAAGGGGCATTTTAAAGTTTCTGCTGGAGAAATATTTATATACATGAAATTTGTGATGGAAATAAAAGTCTTTAAAATAGGTTTACACAGTTAATTGACAGACATTCTTGGAACAGGCACTTTAGTTTCAAAGGATCAACCATGTTCCCTAACTTACTTTTGAAGTCTTAATTTGCCTTATAAAAAAATCCACTTTCTGTCTTTCTTGGGATTTGTGGAAGAAGATGCTTTTGTTGCTATAATTAAGCATAAAATAAGCACATTGCATTTCTGGGTTGTTTTGTAGCCCAAGGCCAATGGGTTTGGGGGACTCAGTACACAGCTGATTGTTCTGGGATTACTACTGTGGTTGTGACCACAGTAAGTTTCAAGCGCAAAAGGGATAATTCTGGGGGTGGGGGTGGGGTGGGGAGGGAACAGTAGCCTGGGTGGTATCCTAGTCACATACAACTCATTCCTTCTTTATTCTGGGGTTGTGAAATTTTCTGTTGCTACCTTTGTTGACATTATGCCTCCGAAACAGCCTCTATCACCTGTAATATAGCATCTCTCACTTCATGTAATACACTTCTAAGGAATGGAGGGAAAATAATATCACATCACAGCCGATATTCCCTAACTGACTTGCTTCTAAAACATGTTAATTTTTGGGAGGTAAATCACAGACTTAATTTCTAATAAGAATAACCTGGCTTTTTTTTTTTTTTTTTTAAGAGTTAGCATTGTCACATGTGGAATGAGCTACAGTCTTTGTCCCTAGTCCCAGCCAACACTATTTATGGTTAAGTCTTTCTAGAACCGGAACTTTTCTGAACAGAGGTACTTTTCTGAACAGATCTGACACTACCCAGACGCTTGTTCTGGAAATGTAGGCCCTTCTGTGTTTTCTCTGCCTCTGGTTTGCTTTTGTGAAAAGCCGGCCTCTCGGCTTGCAGGCGCAGTTTAGGATGAAAGTGCAATCGTTTTCAGAATTAAGGATAGCCAGGCACAGTCGCACAGATAAAGGGCTTTGGAAGAAAGAAGAACTGGGAGTGTGTATAGATGAGGAAACAGAAAAGGGGACAGCTGTGTGTGTGTGTATGAGGAGGTGGTGCTGGTGGGGAGGATATTTGTTCATCGGAATGCTAAAGGGGCAGCATAAAACTTCCATCCCCTCTGCGCTGGGCAAACCGGCCCGTGTCGCTTTCAGGCAAGGCCCTGGGGGCTTCAGCACCCGCACCCCTTGCCCATGGGTCGGGAGGCCACACAGCCATCCGGCTGGCTTGGGGTGCGTGCGGGAGACGGGTAGGGATGCGAGGGGGTCCGCCGGCGGCCCCCCACGCGGGGAGGGAATGGTTCTTACAGTCACTGCTCAGCGCGAAGGGCGCGCGGCGGCGGCCGAGGGAGCGGTCTTCGGCGGGCGCCTCGAGAGGCCTCTTACCGGCGGGCAGCGGGAAGGCGGACGCGGTGTGGAGCAGCACCAGGCAGACAGCCACGACATCCCATAACTTCATCTTAGAGTCCCGTCCGGCGGCGGCACCTGCGCGGGGAGGCGGGAGGTGGGGGAGAGAACCGCAGAATGCTAGTTAAGCCTGGGCTCTCCGCGGGTCCCTGCGCCCCCCTCCAACCTCGTCACCGCCCTCCTCCGGCACCGCCGCAGGCCAGCGGCTCCCAGCGCACTCCCGCCCTCCTTGCGAGTCCCCAGTTCGCTTCTCCCTTCTCAGTGCGCCCCAGGAGCAGCTTGCACACCCAATTCAGACTGCAGCTGCCCTTCTTCACTCTGACTCTTGGGGTCAGAGTTTCAAGCAGGGCTGCTGTCCCCTCCAGTTAACTCCCCATCCCCACCGCCACCACGAAGCCTCTCCAGTCCCCTCTACTGGTGCGCAACATCCCCCATTCCTAGGGGGCAATCCGGTAGTTCCCACCCTGCGTCCTCCACCCCAACCAAAGACTTCCCCTTCTTGTCCCCGGAGCTCCTGTGGGCGCGGAACCAGCCCTCCGCCCTAGCAAAGACCGGTCTTTCTCTTTGGGAATAAAATCAAGCGCACCCCCTGCCTCCGGTCCCAACCCGGCGTCCGGCTAGTAGAGGCCAGGCTTGGGGGCACCACTTACCCAGCCTGCCGCCCACGCTTCATTCTTCCCACCTAAGGTATTCTGTTGCCAGAGCAATAAGTTAGGAGGGACTTGGAGACTTTTGGGCTGCATGGGAATAGCTGGGTTAAGTTACTTAACTTCCCGAAGCACTGACTTGATTTAAAATACTCGTCCCACCTCTTAAAGTTATGAACATTAAATCACGCATGAAAGCGGAACATGTAGTAAGAGCTCAATAAATGCTTTACCATTGCTGTTAGGCAAAGACTGAATTTGTCTTTAAAGTTTTTAATCCTCCGTGGTATACCTGAAAACCCTTTCTTGATTGGATTTTTGCACCTTTGAGAGATTCGGGCCCTAATCCGTTCCCCTCCCAGAGGAGTAACGCCAGGACGACTCTGCCCAGTCCGGGACGCTTTGGAGGTGCTCTGGCAGAGGAAGGCCTAGACAGCGGTACGGCGCGGAGTGGGGGTGGGGGATGGGAGGTGGGGTTCAGCTCTTTTCAGCTGTTTGGCTTCTCAATCCTCACGCCCGTATAAAGGGGGGCCACGCAGCTGGGGGTGGGTGAGAAAAAGACGCTGTAAATTCAGGGAGGAGTTCCAGCCAATAAGGAAATGGAGGAGGACCGAGGCATCTTGGGGTGCAGTGTTATCCAGTGCCTTCCTAATGCCAGGGTTCCAGTCTCCAGGGGAATAGTGACTAGAGAGAATCTTCTCCTGCGGAATCTACGAGATTCATGCAGTCCATTATCCCTTCCCCTTGACCTGCCCCATAAAACGGATTCTTAGGAAAACTCGATTTTTTTCTATGCGGGAGGGAAATGCAAAAACCAGACAAATGCAAAAACCTCAGTGTCTTTCCTAGCCATTAATTCTCAGGCCACCCGCCTCCCTTCCAGGGTCCAGTCCTCATCTCTACACGGAACCCCAGCCCCTGTCCCAGTGCAGGCAACCCGAGGAAGCCTTTAATTCAGCCGCCAACCTCCCACCGCTGCAGAGACGAATGCGTTTTTCATCCCCTGGGCGTCTGTTTGTTCGTCCTGCAGCTGTTGGGTTCGGAGGGTGTAGGGACTAGAAACTTTTAGCGACCTGCAGCACCGAGCGCCTATTGTCTCGCGGACTGGTTTGCAAACTCGGGAACAAGCTAGGCTCTGGATCGCGACGCTCAGACACAGGAAAACTGCACAAGGCCGTACAGAAAGGGGCTTTGGCAGCTAGGATCCGAGGGACGAGAGCCGCCGTCCCCAGTACCCCGTCGGTGCCAGCTCTCGGGTGCGCTCGAAATGGCTGGTGGTCCGGAGGAGCAGGGAGGCGCGGGGTTACCACGCCACTCCAAATTGCTGTGCCCGCCAGCAGGAAGCCACAGAGGCACCAGATTCCCCTTCCGTCTTAAGAGGGTTTTCCCTTTTTTCCTGCTTGGCCGACCGAGGGCTTTTTAAATTGGACGTGGAGATCCTCAATTAGAAGTGTGGCGAAGCTGGCAAAAGACGACACAGTGGAAAACTCCCTGCCGCGCCAGAGGAGGCTCCCGGCAGCGGTTCCCGCCCTCGGCGGAGCGCCGCCAGGGCCCCTATCGAGCTCCCCCTCTTCCACCCGGACAAGTAGGGCGCATTCTTCCCCCTGAGCGCCGCGGGGACCAGCTCCAGTCAGAGCCGCTCTTTAGTTCCCGGTATTTGCAGGGCGGGGGAAAAGAGGGGAGGTTCTGGGGACTCGGCACACACACAGAGTCTGCTAGGACGTTTTTCTCAGAGTCCTTGTGGGCTCCACCCCGCGGCTTCTCAGTTTGTCTGTCGCTTTCCCCAAACACATCTGCATCTGCCCGGCGCGTTTCTCCTCAAACAGCGGCCTTTGCCCGCAGTGCTAACTGCTTCATCCCCGCCGCGTGCGAGAACCAGGCTCTGCTCTTAAAGTGACTGGGGCACTACTCCGCCAGGGGACTTCGGACCGTTTCTCGGGCCTGGCAGGCTGGTCCCCCTGTGGGTCCAAGAAAACCACGTCCTGGCACAGCAAAAGCAGCGGGCCGCGGGCGCCGGCACCTGGTGGGTCCCCAGGCCTGGGGAATCAAGGACGCCCGGGAAAGTCACAGGAGTGCTCGCAAAGTAGCCGCTCCTCGTGAGACGCTTCTGAGTTCCCGGCAGCAGGGGGCACTAGAAACCGCCTGAGCTGTGTCGCGCCCACGCGGCCCGGAGGCTGTGTTATCTTTTTAGTTATAAAACTGGAGAACCACCACTCCCTCTACAAGCCTCCCAAAGTCCGATTAGCCCGGGAACCTGTGGAGGTCCTAATGGTCATCTCTGCTTTTCGGGCTCCCACCCCTCCATTCTCGCTGGTTTTCCTCCCTACTTCACCTGAGCGCGTCTCTTGGCAACCTGCTTTCAGACCATCCCCCACCCCTTCCCCTCGTCACTGTGACAGCTTCGCCAGAGGGAGCGCTCCCGCCGTCAGTGCCCCCGCACCTTCTTGTGCCTGGCAGGCTGGGAGGTTTGTTTGGGCTTTGCCTTCAAGATCCAGGTCTCAGAGAGAGAAAAAGGAGGCGGTGAGGCGGGGAGACGGGTTTGCTATAAACTAGAGGTTTTTTTTTTTTTTTTTTGGAGCGGGGAGGTTGAGACAGAAATTGCTGGAAGATCTATTGCTTTTCTTAAATATTCTTTGTGTCCTTGACTGACAGAGGACTTATTCTCCCCTTTATCACCCATAGCTGCGGGGCCCAAGATGAGGAAAGGAAAAAGAATTTGGGACACTTCTCGCAGGCCAACTGGGGAGGAGGGGTCTGTCTAAGGGCGGTGATCCAGGTCCGAGAGCACCCGAATTGCTAGCGAGAGTGGACTAGGGACACGGCCGACTTCCGAGACATCGGACACTTGTCACTTGTTGAAAAGTCTCCACCTTTCCTGCCAAAGCGAAGACGCAGCGAAACAGGGTTTGGTGGAGGCCGCTGGGCTCCCATTTTGACTGCTTTGCGGGACCGGGTGCATGAGTTAGGCTGGAAGAAGCATCTCTTCCTTGAAATACTTAAGCGTATATTCCAAATACTGAGAAAGAGTCGAGGGCACTCTTTCTCAGTATTTGGAATATACGCTTAAGTATTTCATCTTACCATTTCCACAGCAGGGGCCGGAGGAGTTGCCTTTGTCCCCGCCTCTGAGCCAAAGCGACCAGAGATCAGGGATGGGTAGCCCCCCGGGACGCGCACACCGGTCCTGCCGGTGAATTCTACCAAAACCGAAACTAGCTGGGCGCCAGGAGGCTTGGGGGAACCTGCGAAAGTCCGTTTCCAGCCCGAAGAGGGTTCGTTTTTCTTCCTTGCTGCCAGAAATAAACCAACAGCGCGGAATTAGCCCCGAGGTGGTGTAAAGTAGTGGCGGTGGTGTCGGGGTGTTATTGGAAGGCGGCACAGAGTGCAGGAGAAAAAGGGATCACTAAAGTAATAACTTCAATGGCCTAGTGGAGTCTCAAGAATCTGTTCGAGACAGAGATTTGAGCCCAGGACTGCCAAGAAAGCCCCTCTCCTAACAACCTCGACCGGGATGGTTAGTTGGAGTGGGGGGCGTTAGGAAAGTGCTGGCAGCAGGGTGAGGAATGTAACTTTGCCAGACCTCGCCCGGAGGTGAGCCCTCCATTTTTAGGTTCTCAGCACCTTTGCAGCAGCTCCTTCCCGGGCCTGCGCTTTTCCTTGGAACAGATCAAAACAAGCTCAATAGTAAGTTGCATTCTTGGCAATGATAATATCTGCCGGTCCCGAGAGGACACTTCGGCGGCGTCGAGTTCGAATTATAATCCAAGCCATGCATCGTTCTGGGACTTGACGGAAGAGCGCCTCACCAAGTCGGGGAAGGAAGCTGCCCCTCTTGGGCATTCTGGGGGTTCAGGGGCATCTGGGGCTTCACAGATCTTTGCCCACGTGGAAAAGACAACCTGCCCCTCCCAAAGGCCAGTCTCTTCGGTTCCACTTTTCTCTCTCCTCGCATAGCTTAGGCTCCCTCTAGTCTTTTCACTTTCTACTCTCACCGCTTGCTCTGGGGTCCAGACGCACCCCTCTGACTAGGACGCCCTTCAGCCAGCCGCACCCGCCCGCGACGCAGGCACCACCCGCTCCCTCCAGCCCATCCCGCTCCCCTACTTACCTCGGATCGGGTCTCCGCAGACCCCAGGTTGGACATTAACTCCAGGTGGCCCAAGTCCCAGCCAGAAGCCCCATCCGGTCCGATGGCTGGAGCGCGGAGCCCTGCCCAGCAGGTCAGGGCCAAGAGTTCGCAATCCTGGGGTCGCGCGGGGCAGCTAGGGCGCGCTGGAGGCAGCGGCTGAGAGTCCCGCCGCCGCCGCGGCGAACAGGGCAAGGGCTGCCGACAACTCTCCCGCCGGCTCCCCCCACCCCCAGAAGCCGAGGTCCGAGCAGCCGCAGCTGCTTTGGGTCGGGGGGTGACAGAGCTGCGCGCGCCGCTCTGTTGGCTGAGGCAGCGCGGGCTCGGGGCGCTGCGGGCGGCTCAGCGGCAGCTGCAGCGCTCTGCGCCTCCTCGGGGCGCACTGCCTGGGAGCACGAGACGGGCTTGTCTGATGCTGCAGCGGGAGCTGAGGTTTTGCCTGGAGATCCGAACGAGACACCACGTCAACCGGCGCGGGGAGTCCAGTGAAGACATGAGGGCGCCAGGAGCGCAGGCTGGTCTTGGAGAGCCGGGGCTGGGGGGCCAGGGGCCGGGGTGGGGGAGGGGAGGCGTGGGCCCCCGGAGGGAGGGGTCGCGAGGCGGCGGCGGGGCCCGGCGATGGGGAAGGAAAGGAGAGCAACGTGGAGGCGCTGGAGTTCCCGAGGCGGGGACCGAGGTGCGAGTGGGCGACGCGAGGCGCCCCTCCCCGGGCGGCAGGGAGAGCGCTGAGAGCGTGGAGACGCCGCTAGGATCGCGCCTTCTCCTCGAGGGGTGGATCGGGAGGAATGTGTGGCGCTCCACGTGGGCCAGTCGAAAGCGGCAATCCGAACTTGACCGCGGCGCCCTCGCCGGGCTTTGCCCTGGCGCCCGGTGCAGGGAGGGAGGCGCTCTGCTGGTGCAGGGCCGCGCCGGGCTTTCCTCGCGCCTTTCGAAGGCCGGCCTTCCAGCTCCGGTGTCTCGCCCTCTCGCTTCTCCGCTGGGCAGGAGGCAGCGGCGAGAAAAGGAGCTTGCCGGCCGGAGTTCTAGCACCGAGAAGAAGAGGTGCAGAGCGGCCCGGTGAGGGAGGCCGAGTGTTTGTCAGGGTACGCTGCGAGTGGGGATGAATTTATAGGGCTCTCACTCAGTGACGTGCCCTCCAGTGGCTTTTCTGATTCGCTTTCTGACCTAAACACACATTAGTTTAGGCCCCATGATAAGGCCAACAAGGTCTCCAAATATCTGCTGGCTGAAGTCAGAGGCTTTGCATATCATGTATTACATGGCAGGCAATGAAGAAGGCTTCTGAGGCTGGCCGGCTCCTCAGTCCTAGGCTCCATTTTCATGCTGTTGTAATCTAATACCAGACATGGGTAGGCACATACATTCAAAATCCCAATTCCAGAGGCGTAAGATTACTTTATCAGGAACAGGTCAGGGGAGGTTGAGCTAAACCTGCTTTTATCCAGATTTTCTAAAATGCAAATGGGAAACTTCAGCAAGCACCCCCTTGGGTGCTGCGTTTCCAGAGATCAGGGGTGCAGCCCCATTCCAGAGCTCTGTGGATGGGAGAGGTGAGACCTTCTGGTCATTCCTTTTGCTGGTTAGCTCACCACCAGAAGCTGCCGGAGCCTTCTTTTGTAGAGGACAGGAGGAGGGCAAGTCCTTACACACCCTGTGCATGGCTATAACCATAAATACGTTTCATTCACATGGGGCATGGAGTTGGCTCTGCCTCTCAAATAATGTACAAAATAGGGCATGTCTTTGCTAAGCAGAAACCTGCTTTCTGGAAGCCATTGACCTGAATTCAGTGGGACATCTTTTATTTTATTAGCTGGGGCCGGGGAAAGTGTAAACAGGCTCAGTTTACATCCATGTACCTCTTATTTTATGACTCATCCGGTTGTTGGGGAGTATGTGTTCTTCAAGTAGCTGATACAGACAATAGGCAGGGGAAATGCGTGTGGCAGTGTGGGGGGAAGATCATGTATTATTAAACTTCTTAAAAGTCAAAGATCAGCTACTTTGCAGGTTTGTCAGTGAAGTGAGTGTGGGAGGAAAATTGTTCTTACTAACGTTGCTGCGATTTAAGATTAAGTGAAGTGAAAATCAAGTCATCCAAACATACCTTAGCTGAAATTAGGATGCTCTCTGCAGTTCTGCAGAAAATGACATTTCCTTTGATAGATTTATGGTAGAAATTAGGAAATTGGAGGGCAGAATAAGCTTAATATATTTATCGCTGTTTAACATCGTTTTTGGAATTTGAAGACGGCCCTCATCAATGTTCTTACTCTGAATAATTTCTTTATTTTCAGCAGGCTTTTTGCTGGGGATGGTCAGGCCATCAAGCACCTGCAAATATTTAGCACTTGCTATGTGCCAGGCAAAGTGCTAGACCCTGGGCATTGTGTTGATTAGGCTTTCTTGTGGGGTTGCAAGGAACAGATACCACTGAGTTTACCCTAAGTATTGGGAGTTGACTGTGGAAGAAAGGCTGACCGGAATCTCCACCACTCAGCCACGTGTCTCTGAAAAGCCTTCCGGAAAGGCCACCCAGCCAGGCCTCACGAAAACTGGATTGAAGTTCAGGAACTGGAAGGTCATTCAGGATACGGCTCTGTGACTGGGTTATCTCACTGCCCCCTCAGCAGCAGGCATCTGCCGATCCCTACTAACAGGCTTAGCCGCCAAGGTGATTCAGCTCCTCTCTCACTGTTTTTCCCTGGGTGTCCTTTGGCTTCTGCTCCTGCTACCAACTGCTCAGCTCTCAGTTGATCTCACATTTAAACTCCTTTAGTGAAAGGATCTAGTTGGCCCTGCTGGGGGTTCACCAGGGGTGAGAGTTGGACTGAGCCTTTGTATCAGGCTCCTTACAGGCTGCAAAATACCTTGTAGATCAGCAGACCTGGGGGCAGGTGCCTATCCTGGTCCAATCATCTGTGTCCAGGTTGTTGGCATCACGGAGTACAGAGCCTGGTCACCTTTGCTTGAGATACTTCCTAGAGTTCCTCCCTACCTTCCCTCCACAGCAGATACTCCCTCAGAAGGAGCTGGGTTAATGGTAGGCACTTTAGGTTTTGACAGCCCTCTCCCAGCCGTTCAGAAACCATCACTAAGGAGAAGGAGATATGCACATGATTACTGGTGGTATAAGGTGATAAATACTCCAATAGAAGTATGTATGAGACTCATGTCCTGGAGTCTGATTTTCACATGACCAGTGTGAAAATACCCAGATCTATAGGCTGGGTGCAGCCTATCTATATGCATAGGCTCATGCCTATAATCTCAGCACTTTGGGAGGCTGTGGTGGGTGGATCACTTGGGGTCAGGAGTTCAAGACCAGCCTGGCCAACATGGTGAAACCCAGTCTCTTAAAAATACAAAAATTAGCTGGTTGTGGTGGCGGGTACCTGTAATCCCAGCTACTCAGGAGGCTAAGGCAAAAGAATCTCTTGAACTCGGGAGGTGGAGATTATAGTGAGCAGAGATTGCACCACTGTACTCCAGCCTGGGTGACAGAATGAGACCCTGTCTCAAAAAAAAAAAAAAAAAAAAAAAAGTCCCAGACCTAGGCCCTGTTCAGGGCAATTGAATCAGAATCTCTTGAGGGGTGGAGCTTGGGAGGTGATTTTTTAGATGCTCTCAAGTTACTGAATTGGGTTTGTCTTTTTCCAGTGGTTGCAATCATCTTATGATTCTTTTTGAAAGCAAAATGAAGAAGCCCTATTTTGATAGGTTCTAGGACTAAGACTCTTGCAAAATATTAAATTCCTTTCAAAATACAAAGTATCTTAAAACAGTAATATAAAGGAAAACATTAATCTAGAATTAAAGCAAATATTTCTAATTTTGAAAGAACATTTATTTACATGGCTACAGCATGCAGATGAATTCAGCAAAAGTTCCTTCCAAAGCGACTGCCTTGAATAGAGTTAAGATGGGAAGCAGGCATTTGGTGTCTTGGGAACAAGGGGATGATATCACAGTCTCACGCCCCCATAAGCTGAAAGTAGGGAGCCCCGCATCTCCGAGGCTCCATCTTCTCTGTTCTCAAGGAAATGAAACAGTTTAATTTGAAGATGTTCCTCAGCAAAGTCCAGAAAGGAAGAATTTGCAGCACCAACTCTTCTCTCAATAGGCAGAACATCTGATAAAGCAGCAATAGAAGCATACTACTAAGGAATCTCACATTGTCCCCAGATCTCAGCTTTTTATCTAGGAAGCCCTTCCTGAGAATCAGAGAGAGCAAACATTGTTCAAGCCTCCCATCTCCTCTTTGAGAAAAAAGGTTCAAAGCCATACTAGTGTCCCATTTCACCACTATCACCCTCTTCGCCAGGATTGCTTGTAGTTTCTAACTGAAAGTTGTCTAGATGATCAGTGCAGTTTGTGCCAAAGGATCTTACAGTCCTTGGGAAGAGAAAACACAACCATAACATGATGAAAAATAAAACAGGGTATTATAAGGCTATGGAACTCAAAGTAGGCCTTGATTGGAGTAGGTAAACAGAGAGGAGGTGGGGGCGAGGGGACGTTCCAGGCTAGCTGAAAGAGTCACTGGAGGAGACTGAATGCTAGGTGCTGCCACATTCTTGCTCAGTCTCTGTGGCCCTGTAGGGCTGCAGCCTGGAGAAGTGGTGGGGTGGGTGGGTCGGCTCTTGGCCTTTTGCAGAGTCCTTGGCGAGCTCCCAGTGGGGCTTTGCAGCTGCTTTGACTGTAAGGGCCAGGACCTGGGTCCCTGGACTGCCTCATAACTTGGGTCGTGAGGACTGAAACAAAATCCATCACTTAAGCAGGGCAATTTCCTTTTCAAAGTCACTGCTTTATTGGACCGCAATCTGTTCCACGCTTGCTTGCTCTTTAACAGCCATTTTCACGAATGATCCTATTACTCAAGAAGGAAAGATAGATTTGCCTTCAGACCACTTAAAAAAAGTGAAAAAAAAAGGAAAGGGGAAAAATTCACTGTAATGGCCTTTTTGCAAAGTAGTGGGAAGTGACAAATTCTTTGGAGTAAATTGTTTCTCACAAGAAATCAATCTTGACATTGGCAAGGGAGATTTATCAGTGATTTCCAGTTTCTTTCCTAAGGATCAGACTAATTGTCCATTAATTTTGCTTTTGGCGTTTGAAATTACTATGTGAGATTCCTCTTTTCCAGAGATAAAACTTCAATCAGGTGAGATTGTTGCGGCAGACTTTCTCACTATACAAATGATCTGATGGCTTAGGTCTGGGGTTAGCAAACATTTTCTATAAAGATAGTAAATATTTTAGGCTTTGCAGGCATACTGTCTCTGTTGCAACTTCTCAGCTCTATTCTTGTGTTGCAAGAGCAGCCATAGATGGTATGTAAATGATAATATAATTTTTCCATGTCATGAAATACTTTTTTGATTTTTCTCTATTTTTGGTTTTTAAATGTAAAAACCGTTCTTAGCTCATGGACCATACAAAGCAGGCAGTGGACATGATTTGACCCAAGGGCTATGATTTGCTGACTCTGGTGTAGGTTAAAGTTTTAACTTTGATGATATTTATCAGCTCCAGAATTGTGAAATTCCAGAACTGGAAAGGGCCTGAAACTTCTAGTCCAAGCTCCTCATCTTAGCAGGGGAGAAAATGGAGGCAGAGAGTGATTAAATGACTTACCTGAGGCCACTCTTTGACAGTCTTACCATCCAAGTAAGGGTGCTATAAAATTATTTCACTGGTTTTACGTGTGTGTGTGCGTGTGTGTGTGTATGCATGGAAGGGGGCACACAACGAGTGTTCTGTCACCTTTCAAATTGTGATTTAGTATATTTTATTGAGGCAAGAAATAAGTCAAAATTCAGATAAGTCAACAGGGATCTCTATTGGGGGCAGAGGTTAATGTCAGGCTGAATGGGGGAGCAGAACTTTGAAAAGAAGTTGATTGCTGCCTTTTGGAACAGCAAAACTCTAAGGCAGAGAGCAGAGCACTAAACAGATTTTCCCCCCTTAAAAGGCTGTGGTATTTCTGTAATTGGCTTTTAGACACCATTAAAAAGGCAGAGATAGGTGGGGGTTGGGTGAAGAGATTTGAGTGGGGAGTCAAGATACCCGTATCCTAATTCTTTCGCAGACCGCCTAGTTCCTGTTGCACGCTTTTGGAAACTTCTTAAAGAATGGGAATTCGTAGTGGTCAGTTGACCCTGATAAGGACTCAGTATTTGGACCTTTATTTATTTATTTATTTAAAGAAAATAGAGATGGAGTCTCCCTATATTGCCTAGGCTGGTCTGGAACTCCTGGGCTCAAGCTCTCTTCCCACCTGGCCTCCCAAAGTGCTGGGATAACAGATATGAGCAACTGCAAATGGCCAGTATTTGGACCTTTAAGCCAAAATATTCCAAGAGACCTCTTTGCCATGTATTAATTACGTAATAAACAGACTTGAATCTAGTCTCTTCTCCTCTTACCTAAAATAGATGAATTGTTTGACTGTTTCCAAGAACGGCAGCAGAGCAACATGGCACCCACTCCTCTCTACACCCCTTCCTCCATTGCCTTCTCCATTTTTCCTCCACATGGGAACACTAATCAATCGATTCATGAATCCTCAACAATTACTTATGGGGTTAATAGAAGCAAGCAGTGAATGTGAGTGTGGATTTTATGGTTCCTTGAGTGTTTCAAGCTAATGTATCCCTCACTGAGGTAGCAGCAGGGCCAGCACTCAGGTGAGGCCACTAAGGCACCTCTCTCACCTCACCCTAGCCCTGGCCCTGATTAGCAGAAACTTCAAGTTGAGAGCCCCAAATCTCACAGCCTCAAATTGGTAGGAAAGCATGCCAGGGACCAGGCAACTCAAGTTGGAGCTCCCCCCCTGACAAACTGTGGGAGCTTGGGAAACATGTAGACTCACCTATTTTTCTACCCATTTTTCTCTTCTTGTTCCTTCTATCCCTCCCTGGGAATCTGTGTGAATAGATGAGATAATAAACCAGATTTTTCTGAGTTCATAAGTTACTCCCTGGGAATAATTTATATTGCACAAATACTTTCCAGTCACTGGGGTATTATTTGGTAAATTACTGCCCTCCTGCAATGCTGTAAGTGGAACCCTAGTGACCTGAAGGAGTTAATGCCTCCCTGCAAGCAATTAACTTGCTCCTAGGGCATAATTTACACTCTAAGAGGATCTGGCGGACCATATGTGAAGCACTTGGAATTCTTTGAGAGAAAGGCAGCTCTAGAAATGTAAAGAATTAATATTATACAAGGTGAATTTGCAGACCTTTCTTTGAGCAGTCTATCCTGTGACCTCCCAGAACAGTCCTGTTAGGTAGGCCATTGTTATCCTTTCCAGAGGCATTCTCTAGTCAATGGAAAGTCAGCCAATAATATACCAGCATGAGGTTAGGGAAAACTTATTTGTAGAATGACTTCACTATTTGAAAAATAATGGGTGAAAGATTGGGAGGTCTATTTTAGAAATCTGAGTAAAAACCAAAAGCTAAAGTTAAGATAAATTTAATAAGTATCTGCTTTACAATGTTGAATAGTAGAAATGTGACCTAAATATAATGGTTCTTTTTAAATACAAACTCAGGGACACCAACATATTAGAAGGTGGCATCTGTTTCAAAGTAGTCATTGCAGAAGACTGTCTGTATGTCCTAATATGCACCTATCGCTTGAAACACTTTCATAACATGCAAACACAATTGTTCATCCATCCAACAAATATCATTTAGGGATCTCCCTTCATAAGGCCCTGTGTTGGCAGTCGCTGAGAGACCAGAAAAAAAAAAAAAAGTCATGAGACAGCATCTTTATATTCAGGGACGGCAGTTCTCTGGATTTTGAGGGCCGGTTGAATTTTGAGCAAAGACCAAACCATCTGAAGTCAATCCTAGTGAAAGAGAAGGGCTAAAACCAAGAGAAGATGATTTAGAAACTGCTCATGGCTCAGTGGTAAACTGCAACGATGGCCTCAGTTCTCACCCTTCTCTGTATCTAAGCTCTTTGCTATATGACTCTGCAGTTCCTCTTGCTAAAATGATGGTGTCTATTTCCCCATCCTGTGAATCTGAAGTGGCACTGTGACTTGCTTGTCTTTGCCAGTATGCAATGGTAGTGAGAGTGTGCCAGTTTTGAGCCAGGACCCACAAGGTAAACATGTTTCCACTTACTCTTTCAAAGCTATGCCATTGCCAGGAGAACACGCCTGGGCTAGCCTGCTGGAGTATGAGAGATGTGTGGAACGGAGCAGTACTGCTCCTTTTGTCACAAGCAAGGTCAGTTTAGATGAGCTGAGAGCCAACTGATTTCCCCACCACTCTTCATCCCCAGACATATAAATGAGCCTGTAAAGATCAACAGTTCTGCCTCTCCCACCAGTCTGGAATAAGCAAGGAATGCTTATTATTGTATGCCAGTGGGCTTTTGTGGTTGTTATGCAGCACCGTTATGACAGTGGATCACTCATACAGCTTGTAAACTGATTCCAAAAGAGGAACTCTCAATGCTAAACAATCACAACATTTCTGTACTAAGCGATTGGTGACTCCAGGTGACTACCAGGAGGCTGTAACCTATGTTTGGGAATAAATGTCCCCATGTTTACTGGGCATCCTTCCTCTGTTCTACTGTACTTCATACTTATTGTATGAAATTGCTTGTATGCAGAGCCATGGCTACATTAGACCAAATGTTCTGTAAGGGCAGAAACTACATATTTTATTTTTGCCTCTTTAGTATCTAGCACATAACTACTTGTTAAATGAATGAAAGAATGAAGACTCTCATTAGAAGTCACATCTTGCATTGCATGCTTTTAGTAACTTTGGTCTACTCATGATGTGTGTTGGGTGTGTAATATGTAATCTTAAAAACTTAATGCAATTACTTGGCTAGATTATATATGCACATTGCACTTTTCAAAAGGTGCAAAGGTATTTTCAGTGATAAGTGATTCTTTTTCTCATGCCATCTTCAAGCCATCCACTTTTCTGGTAGCAAAATTACCAGTTTCTTATCTATTCTCCCAGAGAATATATTCATTAAAATAAAACTTTTGTCTAGGAAAGAAATAACATTTCCAGCCATTAATTTTTTTGTAAGTTTGCACATTTTACAATTCCTTATCTTTTGGAGCCTAGGCCAATTGGATGTAGCCTGTATGTTCTTTGCTAGAATGTTTTGAGAGCTGTTCCCCTGGGTTTGTTCCTTAATTTTTTTTTTTTTTTACTGTTAATTGATAAATGATAATTGTATGTATCTATGGGGTACAATGTGTTTTTCTGATACATATATACATTGTAGAATGATCAAATTAGGCTAAATAACATGCCTGTCACCTCAGATACTTACCATTTCTTTGTGGTGAGAGCATTTAAAATAGTTGTTTTAGCCATCTTGAAATCTACAATGCATCATTATTAACGGTTGTCACGAGGCTGTGTAATAGATCACCAGAACCTACTCCTTAGGTCCAGCTGAAACTTTGAATGCTTTGACCAACATCTACTCTTTCCCGCCCTCCTCCTCCCTCCCCCTGCCACCCCTCCCACCCTGGCTTCTGGTAACCACCATTCTAGAAGTTCAACTTCTATGAGTTTGACTTTTTTAGATTTCATTTTTGATTCAGCAGCTTTCCTCAGGTTGTTTAAGGTTCTAATGCTGCTGGAATTCAAGCAGCTGTTTGTTTCTTTGCCTGTGTACTTCTATCACATGAGCCGTCAGACCAGCACTGGGAACTTGATAATTAGCACTGGGAACCAGGTAGCAGAGAGAGCAGATAAACTGGGAGCCAGGCAGCAGACTGAGCAGATAAACTGGGAGCTGGGCAGCAGATCGAGCAGATAAACTCGAAACGTTGGGCTCTCCAGGTGACAGCGGTCAGGAGTTCTGAACCTCTAGAAAGAACCTTTTATCATGAAGAACCAAGGCCCTCTGTTTAATGGTGATAGTGGGGTGAGTATAATTTGAATTTAAGAGTTGTGAAAGAATCTTTGCAGACTGGCATGTTGCTTCTGTTTTATAACAATGCAAAGATTTATAAACTGTGGTGAAACCATGTTGGCCTGTTCTGGAATAAAGCTGGTATTGTATCTTTTAAGGCATGTTTTGGGGGTTCTATGAAGTGGTTTAAAATAAAGCCGCAAGAACAAGAAAAAATTTATTTTCAGATAAATCTTCGTAGACTGCCAACTCCTAGAATTTATGTGCTAAAGATGTATAACTTATTCTTTTCAACAATTAAGTGGTTTAAAAATATTCTTCCTCATGGTTCATTGAATTTCAGGTTCAACTAATTTTTAACAGGCACAAAATATGTACTAGGTACCCTATTAAATATTCTCATGTATATTTTCTCATCTAGTGAAATGTACTGTTCATTAAATATTATGTTACAAAGATCAAAGCAAGAAAATGATTAAGAAATAAAATGACTTTTTTTAATATATGCTACATGGTTTGCATAATCTTAGTTTGTGTAACATGGTTGCTCATAATCTCCCTAGACGTCTTTTGTGGGCTTGATACCAGATTTAGCATGATTCATTTACATTCAGATGATGGCGAATCTCAGAGAAGAAAAACTGCAGCATAGCATGCATGGGATGTGAGTTTTTTCTTTTTGATTGAGGGATTGTTTCATCAAAACATTGTTTCAAACAGATGTGTTCTAGTGTTTACTGAAGGGAGAATTCAAGCCAGACTGATTAATTAGCAGTTACTCAAGCCTTTTCCTTGCTCCTATCTGGGTAGTCTGGGGATTATGAAGCTGTCAGGTTATAGTCAGAGGATGGAAAAAAATGACAAACAGCAACTAAACCTCAGATCACCATGCTAGGATGTAAAATAAGGTGTTCTAACCACTCTGTATAATTTTTATTGGAGCATAAGTTTTTACAAGCAGGTGTGATAGGACTAAGGCAGAGGTTGGCAAATTTTTTATAAAGGGCCAGATAGTAGATATTTTATGCTTTGTGGGCCATACAGTAGGTCACAACTACTAAGCAACCACTGACTGCGTTAGTACTGCAATTACAGAAGCCACAGACAGTATGTGAACAAATGAACATACCTGTATTCCAATATATCTTTACTTACGGACGCTAAAATTTGAATTTCACTTAATCTTTTTGTGTCGTGAAATTGTGTTCTTTTAATTTCTTTTAGGCATTTAAAAAATGTAAAAAGTGTTCTTAGTTTGCCAGCTGCACATTTGGACCATAGTTTGCCAACTCCTAGACTAAAGCAGAGTCCTGAATCAGTGCTGGGTTTGGTTCATTTGATTTTTTTTTTAACGTGAGATTGATTCTTTCTAAATTTGTTTCTATATATGTAAAAATGACGGATGATAATAGTTGCACTATCTTTTCGCAGGATTATTGGCAGGATTAAAAAAGGCAATGGATTTAAAAGTATTTTGAAGAATGTGAAGTGCCATGTTGATATAAGATATTGATTATATCATTATTTGTGTCAGGAATGTGTTTGGTGTAAGCAGCTGAGAGCTTGATTAACAACGGCTTAAGCCATAAAGACGTTTGCAGTTCACTTACCGGGATGTACAAGTTCCCAGCATTGGTGTAATGGCTTGATGTTGTCATTAAAGACCTGATGCTTGCTCTTTGCATTCTGCTGATGTCCCTGTGTTGGTGATGCCTCTTTTCATGGTGCAAGATGGATGGCATAACTCTCTAGAGTTATAGGTCAATGTTCCAAACAAGAAGGAAGTGGGGAATAGAGTGAAAAGGGATTCCTTCCAGGACTCTCTTTAATCATAGAGGAAAGTCCTTCCTAGCATCCCCCAGTAGCCCTCCCTTCACATCTCATTGGTAAAAACTGGTTCATGTGCCTGCCCTAGACCAATTGCTGGCGAAAGGAAGGGTGATTGATGTGCCTGGCTTGTAGACTAATCATGAATCTGCTTCTGGGACTAGGCACAATGCTGTGTGGACAGTCAGGGTTCTGTTAGAGAAGAAGAGGGAGAGCAACTAATGATATCATCACATTATTATTTTTTCCCCTATTACAAGTTATATCTCTAGCATCAGGTTGGGGGAAGAGTTGATGAGCAAATTTCCTAGGAATACTCCAGGTGCCATACAAGCTGTCCACATGAGTACGTACAGGCAAAGACTATGTAGTCAGCTGGCAGGGTCAGGCTGCAAGTTGAGACTGCATCAGAATGGAATCAGCACATCAACCAGTGCCCATCTCAGAACGAAGCAGAAGAAGGGAGGAATCTGAAGGTCATCTGCATATGGCTTCTGGCTCATACTAGGGAGAACCAGCTTAATTCTCAAATATTACACATGATGATAACATGCTCCACAGTCATTTTTCTGGGGAATCTCTTCATTGTAAAATCCAGAACTGTAGGTGCCTATATGGGTGGGTCTCATTTCCAGAAAGGTCAGATTAAAAATCTAGATTTGCAAAACACAGATTAGAAGTCCAATAGTCTGAAGTTTAAACTATTCTTCATTTTGTGAATAATATAACATTTGTCTAAATAGTGACATAATTGGTGCACTTTAAATGATTTCATTGAAGATTTGATTTCCACATAATTTAGTTTACATAGTATGTGTGTATACACACACATGCACACACCTATTGCACACACCACGACATCATCAAGCCTCTACATCAACCCTGGGAACTTGTACATTCAGCTAAGTGAACTACAAACATCTTTATGGCTTAAGCCAGTTAATAGAGCTCTCAGCTACTTATACCAAACACATTCCTGACACAAATAATAATATAATCAATATCTTATGTCTGTATTGAGTTAGGTAGGCCTATAAATTGATTAATTGAAAAATCATGAATAAAATAATCCTTTAGAATAAAATATGCACTAATATGAACTTAATTAAACATCTCAGAGTTTTAGGGTACCATAGCAAATGACATTTCCCAAGGAATTAAATACCTATTAAAAAAATCAAGTCATACACAGATTATACACTCTGTTCATACGGGTCAAATATTCAGTGCAGATATTCCCACATTGTGTAGGATTTGTGTAGGATATAGAACCAAAGTCCCTCAAAACTCTAAGATTATTTTATTATATAAGTACCATTTGACCTTGAAGTTTTCTACTTAATTACTGCAACTTTATGATTATAGTAGAAATGTCTATATTATTATAGGTTTAGTAGAAATATCTATATTATTATACTATGATTATAACCAAGTTCCAAACTCATAGCTCACTGTTCATTCATTCACCTATTCATTTATGTGTTCATTCTTTTTTTAAGCTCATATGTGGTCCCACTCTCATGGAATTTATGGTCTAGAAGAGAAGAACATTAAACAGGTATATGATCCTACTGATGAATATATAACCCCATATAGCTTAGTGATCTGAAGAAAGGAACACTATACTATGTAAGGACAAAATGAAGGAAGCTGATCTTGACTGGGGATCAGAGAAAGCTTCTCTGAGAAAGCAATGCTTGAGCTGAAAGCCAACATGTGAATAGGAGTTAATTAGGTGAAAGTGGTAGAGTGAATTGGAAAGAGCATTACTAACAGAGGTACAGTGTGTGTGTTAGCTTATCATCTGTCCGTCTGTACATCCATGCATCCATACATCTGTGCATCCATCCATCCATCCATCCAGTTTTATAAAACAGCACAGTACCAAGTGGTCATAGAGATGCAAACAAGTAGAAATCATCTGTGTTTTCTAAGTCTGTAAGTCCATTAGGAAAGACTAGAGAAGTACACTGGTAAAAGAAATTCTTAGAAAATGTTCAGAGGTTATTTTAAGTAACAGTAGGTGTGAGGCAATTTCAGCAGTTGCTCTTGCTCTTATAGGAATGGGATTTGCAGCCCTCCTGGGCATTGACCGCACTCTACTTTTTCCCCATGGGAAAGGTGCAGAGTGTAGAGGATAAGACTCAGGTGCTAGCAGCATAACCATGCTTCCATGGGAACTGCAATTTGCTGTTAAAAAATGAAGAAAAATCTTGCATTAACAAAGGAATTTATTTAATTTCCTTTGTTAAATAAGGAATTTCATTTCTACAATGAATGACTTTTTTCTAGTGCTTTTAGGATTAACCAAAAAGCAAAATTCATTTTTTTAAAATGGGATTTAAATTAGCATCTATTCTACACAGATAATTAATTTAATCATCTCATTGTGACTTCCCTGAATATGGTTGCTTATATTGAAATCAGGGGTAGTTTGGGGCTCATTTGTAGTGATTAGCAAATTATCCATTTGCATTTGTTATCAGGTAAATGTTCCACTGAGTTCACAGAACCTTGGCATTAAATTTATTAGCGGAATTAAGCTTAGAGGTCAATCTAGTATAACTGTCATTTTACACAAGAAGAAATTGAAAGCCAAATAGGTTAAGTGACTTGTTGAAGCCACTTAAAAATTTATGTCCCAATTCACTCCATAGACTTTTGTGAGGGTTGTATGAGTAGAGTAAAAGCTGGATCTAGGATCTTCTAACTCTAGGTTCAGGATAAGGGGCTTTGGAGTGTAATTCTCTGCACTAAAATCCCTGTAATTTACTAGCCTCGTGACTTTGGAAATATTATTTACAGACTTAACATCTATTAAAGAACATAATAATTGTACTCATCTCACTGTATTGTTGTGAAGATTAAAATGCATGAGAAGAGTCACACTTCCAGTAAATGCTCAGTAAGGGCTTTGCCATGTGTCTTGCTTTGGTCAATAGGAAGGACGGAAGTGACTGTGTGTCAGTTCTGAGTGAGACTTCAATAGGCATGGCAAGTTTCTTCTGCCCTTTTGTGCTCCTGGATCCAACCATGTCCTGGGAAGTCACTCATTTCAGAGAAAAGAGATGTGGAATAAATCTGAACTATTATAACCGATGTCATCATGAACATTCTTGAACAAGTCTTTTTTGTGGACATATACATTCATTTTTTTCAAGTTTTAACCTAGGAGTGGAATTACATTAAAAGGGGCCAAACAGTTTTCCAAAGTGATTGCACCATTCTGCACTCTCACCAGCAATGTATGAGGGGCCCAGTTGCTCTACATCCTTACCAGTGCTTAATATTGTCAGTCTTTTTAAGTTTATCCAGTTTGGTGGGTGTTCGATGATATCTCATTGTTGGTAGCCTACTGAGTTGAAAAAAGTTTCTTGTTTATTTGAAGATTTCTAACACTAGCTTCTAGGTCCTCTGTTTCATCCTCAAGGAGGGCTGCACAAAGTTTGACTAAACCCAGAACCAGCCTTATCACTCAGACTTCCTGGTCTATGCTACCAACTGGAATTAGCCAGACCAAGTACTACCTAGCCCAGAAACACCCAGCCAGTTCACTAGGCATTTATTAAACCTCCCAGGTGGCTTAGAGGCCGCTGCTTAGAGGCCAAAGCTCAATTCTCCTAAGTGGTGGATGTATCTGTGAACATGATGTAGAGGTATTGAAGATCTTTCAGTACTTTCCATGTATTTAACGAACAGCAAAAATTCTTACATTTTGGTAGACTAAAATCACATTGTTCTTTGATAGCTGGAGATGTTATGGTAGTTGCTACAATAAATTTTCTAAATCTTTCTTTTTCTGCTCCCTTTTCTGCTTTCTATTCTACTTTTGCCTTCTTCCTTTTTTCTCTCTTCTTTTTCTCCTCCCCTCCCCTTTCGTTTCTTCTTTCATCAGCTGAACAAGAGTTTAACAAAGCATTTGAACAGAAACAAAATCATCAGAAAAACACAAATTTCTGGAACATTAATACATGCCCTAATCTTTTCTGAATTTAATGTAGAACTGATTTGTCATATAGAATTTTAATATGTATATTATTAAGTTCTACTTTGTCTTGCTATTATTACTTCATGTAGTTTTTCCATATTTCTAGATAACCCTCATAATTGTGATTCCTAATGGCAACAGAGTAGTCCATTGTATTATCACACCAGCCTGCTGAGCCATTTCACCAAACTGATATACAATATTCTGTTTTATGAATGTAGCCATGTTTATTTGACCCATTCCATTTCATTAGACATTTATGTTACTTCCAGTTTGGAGTATTAATAATAATGCTATAGAAAACGTCTATAAAATGTAAAAACATTTTAGGCTGGGCATGGTGGCTCACACCTGTAATCCCTGCACTTTCGGAGGCTGAAATGGGAAGACTGCTGGAGCCCAGGAGTTTGAGACTATCCTGGTCAACATGGCAAAACCCCATCTCTACAAAAAATACAAAAATTAGCCAGGTATGGTAGTGGGCACCTGTAGTCCCAGTGACTTGAGAGGCTGAAGTGGGAGGATCGCTTGAGCCTAGAAAGTTGAGCCTGCGAAGTTGAGGCTGCAAAGCTGTGATCGTGCAAATGCACTCCCGCTTGGCCTACCGAGTGAGACCCTGTCTTAACAAAAAGAGGAAGACAATATATTTTTACATAAATCTTTACCTGCCTTTCTGCTTATTTTCTTAGGATTAATTTCTAGATGTAGAATTTCTGAGTCAAAGGGTGATGAACCTTTTAATCGTTCTTTCTCACCTAGCCAATAACATTTCAGAAAAGCCCAACCAACTTTGTTCTTAAAATTATATGAGAATGCCTATTTCATGGCAAATGAAAACACTTTGAAAATATTGTATAATTAACATGAATCTTTATTTTTAAAGATTGTAAAACAACACCTATCACCTGTCTTCTGCCAAAATCTCACTCTTAATAGAAGGGCATGATTACTTTTTTAGATATTGGTATGAAAGCTGGATTATGCTTTGTGACATACCCTCTACTTTGCAGGTTTTACAGGCAGTAGGAGATGCTCTTCAGTCAGGATCTGGGCACAGTCAGTGACAGTAGTAGGATTTCTCAGTGTGTCTTTGTCAGCAGCAGGTCTTCTCCTGTGATCCCTTATTGGTGGTCATTATTGCTGTTCTTCAAATCTTTCTGTATCTTTGAGTTTCAGGCACAGAGTAGGATTTCACTTCCCGACCCCCTTGTCATTGGGTGACTGGTGGCTGGGCCATGTGACCAGTTCTGGAAAAATAAGATATGAGTGGAGATGCTGTGTGTCACCATTAGATCAAGCATTTAATTGCTGGTGCAAGGCTGTGCAGAGCTTTCTTTCCCTCCCTCATATGCCTGGCAATGTAGGAATTGGTGGCCACTTCCCCAGCCTGGGTCTTGGAGTAAAGAGATATGGAGTGGTTCCCACCCTCCACCCCACCCCCACTGACCTGAGATGGATATGTAGTAGAGTGAGAAAGATGTCTCTTTTTTTTTTTTTTTGAGATTTTGGGAATGGTTATTTATTACCCCAGCCTGTTCTAACTGTTATTCCTTCTTCTGTCTCCCTTCCTCCCAACATAGATGGCCAACACACCCCTATCTATGCTGTAGTCATAAAGTCTTTGCCATGAGCCTGATGGTTGAGTTAACAGAAATGGACTTGAAGCTCATGTTACATAGCTGACATAAAATGCTTGTTATCTCCACTTACCACTTAATTTTCTAAACTGTATTTGACACTAAACAAAAAGTAAGTACTTTTGTTTATTCAGAAAGTCACAAAAGCAAATAGACTATTGGCTGAAGCATAGGAAGGCAGGGGCAGGGAGCAGGTGATGCTGGCCAGCTCATGGAGAGACTGATGTCTCACCAGGCTGGGCCGTAGTGGCTCTAGTCTGTAGCTTGAAGCTTCCCAAAGTAGTACAAAAAGGCTTAGGCCTTTATAACTTAAAAACCTGTCAAAAGAGTTTTCCTCCATGTGCACAAATAGGGTGTGTGTGTGTGTGTGTGGGTGTGTGTGTGTGACAGAGAGAGAGAGAAGAAACTTACTTGCCAGTGGAAAATAATGCCCCCTTTTAAACAAGCTTAAAAGGTCTTGATATAAGGCAGTGTGGTCTTGCTCCTCTGTTTACAGAAGAATCCTTTCATGCAGCCATGATATATGAAGAATTTAAACCACTGAGATCCTTTATACTAACAGACCATTTGTCTTGGATTTTCCAGGTTTCCAGATTGTCTTCAATGTCTCATCATTGACTCTGAAATTAGCTGTTGTGTGAACAGATATATTACAAGTCCCTAAATTATCATGTTGCAGAAACTTGTCATTCTAACAGTTTAATGGAGACTAGCTCTGTGTCAGCCCTCCCTCTGTCCTGAGACTTTGTCACTTGGGTAATTCAGATGTCAGTGACTCTGGCCCACTTCCTTGCTTTTTATTAGCATCAACATTTCCAACTCCTGTTTTCTAGTTGTCTTTCTTTTTGTTTCTGTGATACTTCCAAACCTGGGATTTTTCCGTTAAGGGAAAAGTGGTCTTTTGCTTGGGAAGCATGCTTGTCTTGTCAGTTGCGCTCCAGGGCCCTTTCTTTACTAGTGCGTTTTTAGACTTTTGGGGAACTAAAACCTTTTGGTTGCTAAATTGTGTGTGTTCCCTACTATCACAGAAAAGAAAGAATGTGTGTTCTTTCTCTTTTAAAGTCAGCTAAAGTCTTGTTTAGGGAATGTTTGAGGACTTCCCTGAAGGACGCCTCAGGGCACCGATCCACCAGATGTAGGCACTCTGGGATGAACATCTTTCTCCTTCCAGAAGGCTTTCCTTATAGCCCAGTGGCTCTAGTAGTTTATCATCTGCATCAGAATCTCCAGGGTGGTTGTTACTGTGCAGATTCTTGGGTTATACCCCAACCCACTGAGTGTGATCCTTTAGGGCTGGGACCCAGGAAGCAGCATTGTAACGGGCAGCCCAGGTTTTGAAGCCCTGCCTCCTGGCAGATCGCTCACTGTTTGCAGAGCATCTCCTAAATAAGCATCTCACCTTGCCTTCAACAAAGCCACGGACTCCACTGTCTCAGAAATGAGGCCTGGAGCGAAGGAAGATGGCTCCCTCTCTCTTCTTCCTAAACTCTCCTTTGGAGCTGGGCCTAGTGTCCTTGAATGAGACGGACTGGCAGGAAAGCCAGTGAGCAAGACTTAGGAAATGCACAAGGAGCGAAACATGGAGATGTCAGAGCCTTTTCTGGTCAGGGATGGTGGAATCAAGCACCGTGTAGTGTGCATTAGTCCTCAGATATTTATTATGTGCTTACCCTGTGCCAGGCACCATTCTAGGTGCATTCTGCCCAACCTTGCATTTCCCATCTTTTTGTCAGATACGAAAAACGAAGCTGAAATTTAAGTCCCGAATTATCACCAAATAGGCAGGACCAGCAAAATAATTAGGAGAATCAAGACAAATTTCTGCCTTTTACTGTGTGTGTGTGTGTGTGTGTGTGTGTGTGTGTATGTGTGTGTGTGGTATGCGTGTCTCTGTGTGCTTTTGTGTTGCACATATTCATGTGGGTTGGATTTTGTTAAATAGCTTGTGTTTTCCAAGCATATGTATATAGTTTCTTCATTTTGTTACTTCATTCATGCATTTGTTTATTCATTCAGTAAATATCTATTCATTAATTCACCTAATATCTATAGTAGGTCTGCTCTGTGCCAGTTAGTTAGTAGGCACTAGAGATACAATTAGTGCCAGTTAGTTAGTAGGTGCTTGAGACCAAGTTCTTGCCCTTGTGGAGCTTTTATTTCAGAGTAGATGATGCTCTTGTATGCCTTAGTGAAAACATAGATGTCGTTTTGTAATTTCCTTTTCCGTAGAGCTCATCGATTCAGCAGATTGCCAAGTAGAGCCCATGAGCCCTGCCCTCTGCTTTCCTGTTTCCTGGTTTCACAATGTCCTTTTCAGCAAAAATGCCTTTCCAGACATTTCATTACATGTTTGAACTATTTATACGCAAAACTGGGGAGGGAAATGAATTAAAATTGTGAAGTCTGCATAGCACTGAAGTCTAAAGAGGAAGTGAAGCTGTTCAGCTGTGGGTTTTGACTGGTTCCCATTGGGAAACCCCTTTCCAGCAAAACCTTCGTGGAGCAACACGCTTCAAAGAGGTTCCCATCATGCCATGTTTAAAACTTGTTAATTGGACCTAATTGCAAACAGCTGCTCAGCTTAGCCGCTGTTTGGGTTGGCATTCACCTGCCATAGATCTAGGTCATCTTTTTGTTACATTATATTTATATTGGTATCATAATATATTTGTTATAATCTCAGAATTTGTCACCTTCCAAAGATTTATGAGATAATAAATAAAAACACGGAGACAACATATTTGTCAAGCCCTGAGGTCACTGCCAAGTACGAAAGCACTTGGGAGTGGATGCCCTGTTTGATGCACTGTGTGTAGTCATGGCACTTCACTCACACACGTGGGAAGATTTCCAACAGCAATGGAAACCCGTGGTGTTTGCTGGAAGCATTGAATGATCTTTTATTGTCAGTTTCTTCTTCGTTTAACTATTGCCTTTTAATGCCATACACCACAGGAACAAGGGGGAGCCTAATAAATAGTAGTTTATTAGGTGAAATCGCTGTTGGATCTAGTTTTGTACAATATTCATGTTTCCTAAAAATCACTTGGGGGAACAACTTATTGGTTCAATGTGAGGGGTGATTTGCAAAATATTTAACAAGTGGTAAGGCATGTGTACTGAGCAATTAGAAGGAATACTGGCCATAGTAACTGGCATGGCCATACTCAGGCATACTTGTTGTGTAGCAACCAAAGTGTCTATTATCAAGCAAGTTATCACTAAGGGTAAGTAGAACATGATCCTGTTGGGATTCAGTGTAGAACATGGACCTCAGAGTTGTCTTACTCTAGGGATAAGAGAGTCAGAGTTTTCTACCAACTCTCGCCCATCATTAGTTGAATGAAGTCCTGTCATGCTAGTGGCTGAGTGAGCTCTGGAGGTCTGAGGGTGCCTTTATGCAAAGCAATGCTGGTTTGGCAACTGGAAGTCAGGCTACTGAGTACTGAAATGATGAGTGCCTAGGGGTATGGGTGGGCACCAGCAGCACCTGCTATGGTGATAGGGGGGCATTTGAGGATGTTGGTGGGGATGAGCATGAAAGATTTCTCTCTCTGCATCTGTCATGTCAGTACAAATAGCCTCCCTGAGGTTATCTGAAACAAATTGATCCTCAGATTATGTCTTATAAATTAAATGGAATTGAGGGAGTGGAGCATTTAATGAAAATGGTGATGGTCTTGAGAACAGTGTAAGCAGTTAATACTAATTTGTTCTTCTATGTGATAAACATGGCTTTTCTTTTTTCCAGATGAGGACATTGAGGATCATAGATGTTGAAAAACTTGCCCAAGCATGCACAAGAGGAATGGTAAAGACAGGATTTGAATTTTGACCTCTCTGACTCCGTACCACAAACTTCTGAAAGTGTGAAAGGTTTAACACAAATTCCTTCCCCACTCTTTCTCTCTCTCCCTCCCGTCCCTCTCCAACTTTTCCCTTTCAACGAATATTTGAATACTTACTATGTGCCGGGCACTATTTTAAGCACCACATAGCAAACAAACAATTTTGGTCTTTTTTGATCCTGATAATCCCCCACCCTCCCTTAATCGTTTTTCCATCCCTACGCCCTTCCCTAACTTCTGTGGGGCCCCGCAGGTGTAAAAACGGAGGCTCATACACCATGTCTAAATATTTAAAAGTGATAAATCAAGCTGGCAAAGTGTTAAATAAAAGATGCTCTACACTCCTGCCTTGATAAAGACACTTGTGCACAAGGGCTGGTGTGCACTGAGAATCTGTGGGCTCCCGAAGCACCGTGCAGGATTGTGGAGGGGATCAGAGGGTGTGGACATCTAGCCTGTGACCTGTCCCTCATCTCTTCCCACCCTGGCAGTCCCACATAGGGGGGCGGTACACATATGTGTGTGGACATTCTAGCCTACACATCCGAGCTGTATCCCCACAAATAGCAGCCTGTGGCTTAGGGGTGTGTGCACTGGTGGTGTGACCTGCCTTGGAGAGAACAGGCCTGGGGAAAGCTCCAAAGTGGACTTGAGACCACTTGGAAAGGGCATTCAGGGTCTCTGGTACCCAAGACATAGTCTGAAAGATGACATGCAAGCTGTAGGCTCCAGGTGGGTACATCTCTGTGCCCCCCAAATCTTCACCCCATAAGAAAAGGCAGAACCAGAGAAGGACTAGGGGCCCCCCTTTCCTGGGCCTAAGAATAACAGTGCTCCTCCTCATTCCATTTTCTCTTCCAAATCCCACTTTCACATGTGGATATTTTTTGAGATTTGGTCGTCTGAGGATTTTTATAAAGGAATGTGGAATTCAAACACTCCACTTGTTGAACAGAGAGCAGGTCCTTTGAGGTGAGCAGATGGTAGATGTTACCAGAAGCTGGGGAGTAGGATTGTGGAGAGACCCACTGGCCTCTATAGGGTTACATGGACTTCCCTGCATTCAGCAGCCCTAGTCTACAGGGGGAGAAGCTGCGCTGTCCTGGCCCTTGTTGAGACCTTGATGCGTTCATCCCAAACCTTGGGAAGTGGATGCCATTCAGCAGGATCAACTCTGCACACCCTGTTCACTTCTCCAGCCTTGATGACCACAGCTCCTAAAGCATACATGAAAGCAGTGCTTCCTTTATGGGACCAGATTCTCCTGGGGGAACAGACAGAAGCTCTCCAACCTGAATAGCAGTTTGCTCATGCCAGTATGCATTGCCTGTCTCCCTTGGGGAAGGTAGATGGTTTAAATTATTTATTTATTAAGCCTGCACAATGTGATAGGACACTATCGCAGATAGTCTTCCATGTTTTATTCTGTTCTTAAGAAAATAGGAAACTATATATACATTTCCCTCCATTTAAATTATTTTCACTTATCTCTTTGTGTTAGGGGAGATACTGAGGAATGCAAATGCTTTTATTTTTAATATGGTGTTACTCAGAACCAGTAGGGAATATCTATTGATATATCTATATCACCTATATCCCTGTCTGTCTATCTGTCTGTCTGCCTATCTATCTATCTTACCTATCTATAGATAGATACATGAGAGGGAATTTTTTAAAGGTTTTTTTTTATTGTTGTTGAGACGGGTCTTGCTCTGTCATCCAGGCTCTAGTACGGTGGCAAAATCGTAGCTCACTGCTAGCCTCAAACTCCTGGGCTCAAGTGATCCTCCAGCCTCAGCCTCCTGAATAGCTGGAACTATACATACATACCTCTGTGCCTGGCTAACTTGTTTAATTTTTATTTCGTAGAGATGGGTGGGGTCTTGCTGCATTGCCCAGGCTGATATTGAACTGCTGACCTCAAGAGATCTTCCTGCATCAGCCACTCAAAGTGCTGCGATGATAGGCATGAGCCACTGCAACTCGCTGGAAGTTGGATTTTGAATGTTTTAAAGTAGAGCGAGTGGGGTCGCCTGTTAGGGAAAACATCCCAACACCTTTTCTCCTCTGAGCAGTTCCCATGTTCACATCCCACAAGGGCCTCTGTGCTTCAGGATGTCTCCGCAGTTGCTCTTCAGCCTCCTCTTGCTGCACAGGCCAAGGGAACTGTTTGATGACTGCAGCTTGTCCGCTTGCCTCCCTTCAACCCTTCAACTTACCTCTTTCCATTAGCATTATCCCTGGCCAGGTGTGTGCTGGGGGTCACTCGTATGGACTCACAAGGGCCAATGTTAAATTTTCAGGAATGTTGTGAGCCACTTATTAAATACAGCCATTATAAAATGAAATGGCCTAAGCTTACATTGAAATAAATTTCATTAAAAACAAAGCTAATAATAATAATACTCAAAACTCATTACTTTCAAATTATTTTACTCTATGTTACTATTATCTATGCTCTTGGGGTTGTTTCTGTCTGTTGTGATGGCACGGTGGAAATGTTACATAACAGTGTGCTCTGCTATGCCCTTTTTCCAACTGTGTGCTTCATGATGTCTTTTTGGAGATTGAAGTCAGCCATGGTTATAGTATTTCCATCATGTAATTGGTAAACATTATGAATCAGGAGTCCCTCTCTTACCCAGAGAGCCTGCTGTTAACATTTACCAGCAAATCACAACCTGTAGCTTTCAGATCCTTAGATCAGTTTCTCAGTTCTAGCACTGTTGACATTTTAGGCCAAATAATTCTTTGTTTTCTGGGGGGCATTGCATGCATTGTAGAATGTTGAGCAGCATCTCTGGCCTCTACCCACTGGATGCCAGTAGCTTCCCCACTCTGGTTGTGACAACCAAAAACGTCTCCAAATGTTGTCAAATGTCCTCTGGGGGATAAAGTTATTCCCACTTAAGAACCACTGGCCTAGACAACATTACCCTTTAATGTAAGTGACTTGCCATTCTTCCCTTTTGAAACTTTAGCATGCATCTGACAAATAGTCAGTACCCATTATGACTATAAATATAATAATGAACAATATAAGCATTGTCCCTGTCTTCATGAAACTCCAGTAAAAAATCATGGACTAAGCTGGGAATATATTGAGTATCTATTAGAACTAGAACATGCTATCCATATGCTAATGTGCTGATCATGATCAGTAGATGATCATGATCCTTATTAATTCTATTAACACTAATTGCAACATTGTATAATGTTTGTGTTTCCCCTTCAGGTGACTGTTGTCTCTTGGGCACAGGTAGCTGTCAACAGGTGAGCCTCTCGGGGGATCACTGGTAGATCTAGGATGGCACTTCTGTAATATGCCAGCCTCAGTGTAGTGGCTGGCAAGGAGCAGAGGTTGGGAGGAACTGGAAGTGAGTGCCAGGAGTAAGTAGCCCCAGCTAATGAGCTTATCGGGGGTTGCCAGTGGGGCACTGTCCAGGATGGAGATTGAATGGGAGACATGGCCAGATCTCAGAAGGTTATGCAGCTCCTGCAAGTACCTAAGTGGAGCTGAGTCAGCACGGCCCTGGTGAGCATACAACAGGCATTGATCAGCTACAGACTTCAGCATCGTGGCCTTCCAGCATGGGAACTAGATGAACTGGAGCACAGGACAGGAACCTGCACATATGACTCATGTGGGCCAAGGACCTTCCTCCCCTTTCCTACCACCATGAAGCAGACCCTTTCCCCGGTCATCTTGGAGAAGAATGGGAAAGTAGAGCAGTGGTGGGGGGCAGGGGATGCTGCAATACTGAAACATCCAGGAGGCATTTAAAATTATTGGACTAGATGACATTTAATTTTCCTTCTCTACTCAGTAAAGTGAAGGGCTCAGGAGAAAGATTGGATCAATTATAGAAAATAATGGGGGTACATTTTCTTTGCATAACTAAATGTAGGGTAAGTGCATTTGGAATTTGCTAAAATTGTCTTTGTTCTGCATCTGCACATGCACGTGCACACACACAAATGGCACTTCTTGGAGTTCTTCTTTGCTACCACCTCCCCTCAAGAATCAATACTCACAAAAGCATTTGTGAAAAATGTAGACTTTACTGAAGATTCAAAGGGAAGACAATGGAGTTTCACTGTAACCCCCACACAAACATATTCATATTCCACTTTGATATTGTGTTCCTCGTTTCCAATATGTACCTTTTTTCTAGTTGAGTATTTGATACCTTGGAAACCAGAATCTGTCTTGCTGTGTTAGTGTGTCATAGTATAATTGGCAGCACCTTTCCTTTAGCAGCAATAAATAAGACAACGGTGTGTCTTATGCTGGTGACTTCTTATATTTGATAAAATCTTTTAAGTCTACTTCTTTGCAGTCCTTCCTCAACTGCAACCAGAGGCTTCCCCACTGAGGCCATTGAGTAAAGTGGTTTAAAGTACAGTTTGGAGTCAGACCATCACTCACTCTCTCCACCATTCATAAGCCAGGTAACCTTGGGCAAGTTACTGAATGGTTGGGGGCTTTGTTTCCCCACCTGTATAACGGGGATGATATTATTAACCACTTCATCAGATTGTAGTAAATGTTAAATGAGTTGATACATATGAAGAGATTGGAATGGTGTCAGGTGGTAGTGACTTCTAGAAAAATAGTTGTTCTTACTCTTATTACCTCTTTAGTCCCCTCCCACACAGGCCCTGCCTCCTGTTACCTGTTGCTTTTCCTTTCCTCCCTTATTTTATAAATAATACTTCAGTGACCACTTTTTGCTATTTGAATCCAAACTTGAGATGTCTCCTCTCCTTCCCAAATGTCTTACCTAAGTATTTACTCCAAACAAATACGTTGTCTTTTAGACATACTCTGATAAGTAAAGACTGGTGTATGCAGTAACATATTTTTATCATTATTTCTGATACTTCTATCGTGGATGCAAGAGATAATAAGGTATGAGCTTGACGGGAGCCAAGCTAGGTTGTTGGGGAACATTAGGAGACAGGATGGAAAAAATAGGCTGGAGACAGATGGCAGTTGAAGAATCTCCCCTTTGAAATCTTTGGTAAAGTCTACCATATGATACCTCTCCATACATCTCTTAGGAGGCTTTGTATTTTGATGACAGCCTTGAATGCTAGGGACACCCAGACACACTGGCTAGCCCACACAGGGCAGAGAGGACTTTCACCCTCTTCAGATCATTGAAGAGGGTGTATGGGTGGCAATGTTTCTTCCCATATATTTGACTGGCTCTAGGAGACAAGTCAAGGGGTGTGAGCTGTGGATGTGAACTGAGAGAACAGTTAGGGCTTAGGTGAAAAGTGGAGATTCAGGAACTCTTCAGATACAGTGACCTTAGGGAAAGATAGATGTATTAGGCCATTCTTACGTTGCTATAACGAAATACCTGAGACTCAGTAATTTATAAAGAAAAGAGGTTTAATTGGCTTATGGTTCTCTCAGGCGATATAGGAAGCATAGTGCTGGCATCTGCTCAGCTTCTAGTGAAACCTCAGGGAGCTTTAAATCATGGTGGAAGGGAAAGGGGGAACACACAAGCCACAAGTCGAAAGCAGGAGCAGAGAGAGATTGGGAATGGGGATGTTACACACTTTTAAACGACCAGTCTTAAACAACTTACTATTGTGAAGACAGCACCAAGCCATGAGGGATTTGTTCCCAGGATCCAAACATCTCCCACCAGGTCCCTCCTCCAGCATTAGGGATTACAATTCAACATGGGATCTGGGTGGGGACAGGTATCCAAACTATATCACTAGACACTAACCAGGAGACACCCGGCCCATCTGGGTTCAAGGTATGTCACAGGCCTGCATTCCTCCTAAGCTTTTCCAGACCCTTGGTGCCAGAGTTCAAATGGCTGCAGTCCTGGCATTTTCCTCAGTGAGGCTGGACAAAATAATCCACTCCTGTAAGTGGAAAATTTCTTCTGTGTAGGGTGAGCACTTCCTGCTCCAGAGATGAAACATCCTAAGGGCAGAGTATGACTTGGGGTGGGGTGACCAGTACCCCAACTGGTCGGTGCTCTACCCTGTCAGTTCATTTTGCTGGCGATCTTGTTCCATAAGGGCAAACAACTTTCTAGCTGGTCACCTTTAGAACAAAGTAAGTTTTTGAAAGATGATTAAAAAAGAATTCTTTTTCAGTTTGTTTTGGGTTTAATGAGTCAATGCTTTATTTTACCATGAGTGTTTATAACCAAACCTAAATATGTGTAGGATCTTGAACCTCCCCCACAACTATTTCCTATTTATTGCCAGAAAAATTCCAATGCCAGATTTTGCCATAGCAACTAGAGGCAAATATCAATACAGCAATAAAGAGCAAGCTGGGAAAGGGTTTCCCTACAATGTGGCTTGAGTTTCTGTAGGGCATTCCATCCTCCATGCAGAGCCTTGAAAGGCAAGAGCATTCCTGTGGGAGTCTGGTAGAGTCCAGCTTTGCCAGCATCCAGCACCCATGAGGAAATGTGTTTCTCAAGAAGCTGGGCCAGGGTGGAAGGATCAGCTTGCCTGCTCCTCGGCCTTGGCACTCATTGTATGTTGATCTCTATTTTTGTGTGTCAAATTCTCTAAATTAAATGTATTGAATCATTATTTTTCAATATATTATGGTTTTCCTCTGAGCAGTTTAGTAAACAAGCCTGTTGTGTAGTTCCTAATTGTCCCCTCAAGTGCTCTTTGGAAGATGGCAGTGCATGTGTATAAATAAGCAAATGAAACCAAAGAGCAGGAGACTCTTCCAACACCTGCCCATCATATTCCTCATTCTGTGTCCTTCCTTTTTGCATTGGTTTTCATGGTGATGTTAGGAAGTCCCACTTCTTGCCCATAGGTAAAGTTGTCTCACTCCTGCATAACCTTCCTGAAAGAACTTTGGGGTTCCGAGTTACTTCAGGTGCTGCTTCGGATTAGTGGTGTGTTGGTAAATGTTTAACAACTGGCTCACAGAGATAAAATTGCCTTGATTTGTAGAGCTGATTTGCTGATTTCTGTGGTCCAAATCCTCCCACCATGGCAGATTTCAACTTACCAGAGGGATCTCCTGAATGTGGAACTGGAAAGAGATGCATGCATTTGACTCTGGCACTCTGGTAAGAGCTGACCACCCCACATCACTGCTTCTGTTGATAGGCCGGGGTTTCTCAACCTCAGCACTATGACGTTTTGGGCAGAATGGCTGTTGGTTATTGGTGGCTGTCCTGTGTATTGTACGATGCTTAGCAGCACCTGTGGTTTCTACTCACTAGATGCCAGGAGCAACCCCTCCCCACTAGGTTATAACAACCAAAAATGTCTCCATATTTTGCCAGATGTCTCCGGAGGGGCAAAATCTCCCTTAGTTCTGGGCTATTCTGCATTGATAGTGCTTAGAAGGTCCATTCAACAGGCAGTAGACTTCCATTGGTAGCTTTCCCATGAACCACTCTGAATACGCACCCAAACAGGTTCTCTCTTGACATTTTGGAGGTGGTGTACTAGTCTGTTCTCATGCTGCTAATAAAGACATACCCAAGACCAAGTAATTTATAAAGGAAAGAGGTTTAATAGACTCACAGTTCCAGGTGGCTTGGGAGGCCTCACAATCATGGCAGAAGATGAAGGAAGACCAAAGGGACGTTTTACATGGCAGCAGGCAAGAGAGCATGGGCAGGGGAACTCCCCTTTATAAAATCATCAGATCTTGTGAGACTTATTTACTATCATGAGAACAACATGGGAAAGTCCAGCCCCCTGATTCAGTTACCTCCCACTAGATCCCTCCCATGACAAGTAGGAATTATGGGAGTTAAAATTCAAGATGAGATTTGGGTGGGGATACAGCCAAACCATATTACTTGGTACTGCAAAACACTGGAAGTGTGCTTCCTTGGGTAGTCTTGAGAAGAGTCGTACTGTAAGGACTTAAGGCAAAAAATTAAGATGGAGCAGGGCCACTTGGGGAGGAACATCAGGGTAATTCCATGGGTTGGAGTCAATTATAGGATAGATTTTGACAGACTGCAGAGGTCCCCTAGGCAAATCTTTTCTTTGTATGGGTGAGAAATGAGACTCAGAGACAAGGTGTGACTTGTCCAAGGGCAAGGTGTGGATGGTGTGGATGTGCTTGGGACAGTCACAGGGGTGTTGTGGTGAGTGCTGTGAGACACCTGTGTGACATACTGGGAATTAGAACTGACTCCAACTTGTAGCCAAATGTGTTTTGTGGGCTTTTCAATGTTGAGTTTAGATGGATATATTTTGACATCTCTGTGTCCCCTACCTCTCTGCCCCTTTGGAAATATCTGCTCATGAAAACTGTATTATAATGAGGGATTTCTGTTTCAGATAGAATTATTTCCATCAGCTTCAGGAGTGAGTTGATTATTCACATACTCTGTTTAGGGGGGTTAAGCCGCTCATCTTTAAAGAATAAATGCTGAATGTTGTCACTGATTCCTCTTTCCTTCCTCCCACAACTGCTCTGGGCCTTCTCATTGATGTGGTATCTCAGGTTACTTCCAAAATAATTTAAGAAAAGGATTTGTAGAAGAAGCTAGCTTTCCAGTAGAAAAGTTAAGATGACAAGATTAGTGTGTTAAGAACTAAGAAAGCCCTTCCTAGTTTTCATTGAAAATGTGTTTTTTAATGCCCAGAGGTGCCCAGTCAAAAAGGAAGTATCATGGAAGGATTCTTTCCATCAGCAGAGTTCTTGGGCATTGGAAGTTCCAGTGCAATTAGGGAAATCGCGTGAGAGTACATCAGTACACTTCAGATGCCAATATATTGGGCTTGATCAGGAGAGCAAGTCTGCCTTTATTAGAGGATTGAATAAAAGTGAAAGCAGTGCTTGAAAAGAATTTGTAATTTTGGATGGGATAATTCATCACTTCACTCCAGATTAGTTCTTCACAGTGAGAAGTGCTGTCTCCAGAAAATTTGGCATAACCAAAGTTTATTGTTACTACCTCCTGCTTCTCACATTGTCCTTTGTCACACCCCCAGCAAGTTCACAGTGATGCTGCAGGCCACCCCATGGGCTCTGCCTGCTCTCTTCCATCAGGGGCTACCTTACATCAATCTTTCAAGGCCTTCTAGGTAATGTAGGCCAGTGGATTTTTGCTTTCTTTACCCAGCATCTTAGTCTAAAAGGATTCATGCAAGAGTGTCAGACATTGTATTAGGCTAAGGGGAAGTATTTTGGGTTGTGGGGAGCACTTAATGCAACACTGTATGATGTTCCCTATTCAGTGATGTTCAGACTACACAGGCCAACATGGAAGGGGCTTAAGGGAGATGACAAAAAAATTCTCTTCTTCCACAAGGATTTTCAATACATCAATGTTGTTACTTCTTTGTGATGAAACTATTTGCACAGCAACTAATGATTATTTTTTCCTCAAGGTGGAAAAGGTAGGAGCAACAGCTTTCAGTTCTAAGGATACATTCTGTTAATCTTCATAAGCCCTAAGAACTAGGCGGGCGAGATTGAGGAGGCAATAAAGTAGAGAATTTGCTCTACAGTATTTTCCCCTGAGCTGCCATCTGAGGCTTTCAGAGCTCAGCAGTGCACTCTTACACTGTTGTACATGCCACAGGAGCAATACAAAGAGATGGCAAACATGAGTGGTGTTGGTCACTGGAAACAGAAGATTCCAAACAGCTGTCTCACCAGACTGTTCTTTCAGAAGATTCATTTGTACCAACTACTTTTTTCGTCATGGATCCTTCCTGGTTCTGCAATACAGATGTGGAAAGTGAAAAGAACATGTCATTGGATTCCATTCCTAAAAGTGGAAAATACGCAATTTACCATGGGATGTTTAAAATATTAAGATATTGTTCACCATGTATATTCAGAGTTTTAGAAAAAGTAGGTTAAAAGAGCAGTGCATACATGCACAATGCTCCTCACTGTCAAATGCTGAAGCCTGCTTCAGGATGGGTTTGGGGGCCGGGGGGACAAGGTCTGACCCTCGGTCTGTAGGCTAAGTGCCTTCTTAGTGCCTTGGGACTCAGGATCTGTTCACCCCATCTATACTCACAAGCCTACTTCATTCATCAGGCTAATTTATTGGGCTGTGAGCTTTTTGAGGACAGGACCTTGTACCTTTATCTTGTACCTCTCCTGCCTAGAATAGCACCAGGCACGTAACAGGTTCTTTTAAAAAAAGTATTTTACAGCTTTATCAAAGTATACGTGCTGTAGGATCAGCTTCATGTGTTTAAAGTTTTCCATTTGATGAGTTTTGATATATGTCTATACCCATGAACCCACCACCACAATCAAGATAATGAATGCATTCATCAGCCCTGAAGTTTCTCATATCCCTTTGCAAGCCTTCCCCCTTCGCTCCATTGTTCCCAGACAACCACTATTCTGCTTTCTGTCACTACAGATCAGTTTGCTTTTTCTGGAATTTTATATAAATGGAATCATACAACATGTACTTTGTTTTTCTTTCTGGCTGTTTTCACTCAGCATAATTTTCTCAAGATTCATTGAAGTTTCATATATTAATAGTTTGCTACTCTTCACTGTTGAATTGCATTCCATTGTAAATCATAATAGGTACCTAACAAGTGTTTGTGGCTTTACAGTGACTTGAAAATTAATTTTTAAGAATTTAATTGGGAGAAAAGTGGATAATAGGATACCACTCTATTCTTGGTGAATGGGTTCACTCAGGAAGTGGAAATAGGAATCAGGAGATAATTTGGCATGGTGGAGTCTTTTGTTGTCATCCCACATCTGTTTTTCCTTCTTTCTTAGTACTAGAATACCTGAGTTTTGGCTGGGCACAGAACTGTCTGGAATAAAGACTATAATTCCCAGCCTTCTATGCAGTTCTGTGTGGCCATGTGACTGAGTTGTGGTCAATATGAGGTAAGCAGAAGGGGTGTGTGAAACTTCTTAAAAAGTCTCCTTGAAGGAAGAGGGATTTCCTCTTCTCTTTTTTTTTTTTTTGAGACGGAGTTTCGCTCTTGTGACCCAGGCTGGAGTGCAATGGCGTGATCTCGGCTCATCGCAACCTCCGCCTCCTGGGTTCAGGCAATTCTCCTGCCTCAGCCTCCCGAGTAGCTGGGATTACAGGCACATGCCACCATGCCCAGCTAATTTTTTAAATATTTTTAGAAGAAACGGGGTTTCACCAAGTTGACCAGGATGGTCGCGATCTCTTGACCTTGTGATCCACTCGCCTCGGCCTCCCAAAGTGCTGGGATCCCTCTTGTCGGAAAATGGCTGTCATGTCTGGAGCTCTGGCAGCCATTTTGGACCAGAAGAGACCTTGAGAATGGCGGCCGCTCATGACAGAGCAATAAAGTAGAACGGGTCTGGGCCCCTGATACCATAGAGTGCCGTGCAAGACCTGGACTATCTCCCTCCAGGCTTTTCAACTGAGAAATATATGTAAAACTTCATCTTGGCAGGGCATGGGGGCTCACGCCTATAATCCCAGCACTTTGCGAGGCTGAGGCAGGCAGATCACCTGAGGTCAGGAGTTCGAGACCAGCCTGGCTGTTATGGTGAAACTCCGTCTCTACTAAAAATACAAAACTTAGCTGCGTGTGGTTACGCACACCTGTAATCCCAGCTACTCCGGAGGCGGAGGTAGGATAATTGCTTGGGGGAGGTGGAGGTTGCAGTGAGCCAAGATCATGGCATTGCACTCCAGCCTAGGATACAGAGTGAGACTCCATCTCAATCAATCAATCAATATTGATCTTGTTTAAACCACTGTTTTTCTTTTTTCGTTTGTTTCTTGCAGAGAAAAAAATTCTACCTGATATAGTTAGTTAGAGTTAGTTAGAACAAGAGGGAGCTTAGTGTTGCCAGAAGATCATTTCTATCATGCTAATATGCCCATTTCCACTGTATGGATGTTTCTGACTAGAAACCTAGTATCAACTATCAGAATCTCTTTCATGGGTTCTGGAAAAACCCTGACAAACCATTTTTAACAATTACCCTTTTCCCGATCATGTAACTCAACCCCTATCTATTTGTAAGCCATCACTAATGTTTTAGGTGTCTTATAATTATAACTAATTTTACTTTTATTGACTTTTAAGTTGGTGGCTCTGTGGTGGGGTGTGGGGTTAACCTAACATCATTACAAAATTTACAAATCATAGTTATGGTTGTTTATTTGGAAATGTTATCTGTAGATGCCCAGTCTCATTTATTGTTTATGAATTCTTGTTATGTTTAATCCCCAGTGGTGGTTTGGCTTGTAAATCTCATTTTTTATTTGAAATATTTCAAACATACATAAAAGAGTGTATTTCCAGATGTCATATATCTAGCAAACTTGACTCTGTAGAATAGTAGTTGCCAACTTTATTTATTATGTAGCAGCGGAATCCTTTTTTTCAAATGGCATCCTATACAGAAGCCCATTATATAAAACATCTCAGAGCTTCTTTGGTTGAGGCAGAAATGGAGGGCGTGGAGCCTTCCTAGATTAAACCCCACCTTGGCCACTCCATTTCACACCACAGTAGCCCCAGAAATCTGCTCACATAGCTGAAAAGCACAGATTAAGAACAGGTTCAAGAACCAGAAAGCAAGCTAAACACTGTGATCAGATCAGCCATAGCAGGTGATATAGTGTCCAAATGGTAAAGCCCATCCATTCTCTTCATAGAGGAGCCTCTGAGATTCTCATTCAGAACTCTGTGCTCTTAAGTTAGCCACAGTTCTAACAAGCTTTGTAATCTAGTTTCTCTGTCACTGAAGGATAGAAGAAAAACTCAGAGAGGGAAGAAGTCAGACACAGCCAGACAGGGCTGCCAGCCATTCCACCAATGAAAGAGGAGACCAGGATGTTTCAAACAGGCAAATACAAGGTATGAAAAACAAGAAGTTAAAAATTCTGAGGTCATTTAAGGTAAATGTAGTTCCCTAATGTATTCCATGGGTCATGAGGACATGATTTTATATATTTATATCTAGAGAATATATATATATGCATGTATACATACATATATGTGCATATTTATATATTTAGTGGCTTTATGTTGTATAAAGTGTGTGTATATATTCATAAATACATAAAATATTTGTATACTTATATATTATATGTGTAAACAATATGTATATATACACATACAATAATTTGCTTAGTGGTTATAATTATGACCCTGAGAAGAAAAGAATCATGTTTTCTCTTAGTCATTCTATTTATAGTAATAACAGTAATACTTATTGAAACAATTTTTATATGCTAGGTACTGTTCTGTTTTATAAAGTTTATTTACTCTTTCTCTTTACGAAGCAGGAACTATCATTATCCCTGGAGGCAGAGAGAAGTTCAATCCCTTGTCCAACCTCATACCACAAGCGTGTGTTGGAACTGAGATTCAAACCCTAGCATCCTGGGTCCAGGGCCCATGCTCTTAATGCATTCCATATCTTAGGAGAATTTCCCCTAGTTAAACAATAAAAGTGCAAACATCTTGTGGCTAGCCAAAATTTTCAGTTGTTTGGAAAACTTATTTATCCGATAAGTGGAAAAGTCACTTGTCCTCCAACAATCCTGGATAAATGAAAGAACAAAATTGAACTGAGACTGGAATCTGGGTCTCCCAGTACTTTGTAGCTCCTATGCATCCGGCTTGTCAGGAAGGCCACAGGGAGGTAAACTAACTTGAGCAGTTTCTGAGTAACCAGAAACAATCCCACATCAGACTATTGGCCGTGGGAGCGGAACACTCATACCTGAGCCACGTGCAAGATGTTTGCATTTTCATTTGCAATGTCGTCATCTTCCTAATGGCTCAAGAGGTATTGGAGTTGACATGAAGGCTACTGTAATTTTCAGAGTCATTTTCTTTCTGGCCTGTGTTTACATATTGTGGTGGAAGAGTCAAAAAGATCTCAAGCTTCAAAGGTGAATCTTGTTGTGAGTTGTGAAAGCACCACCCTGTGGAGTGCAGCTCAGCATGTGTCACCCCAGGCGCTGGGATGTCCCTGGCTTCATCCAACTTTGGTTGCTGTCTTCATGCTCAGGAATTCTGCAACTGCCGTGGCTTTTGCTGTTGTTATGTCTGTAGGTATGAACTCATTTCTACCATTCTGGAATGAAACATTATTTCAAGGGAAGCTTCTCATTGTAAAAAGTCCACACATTCAGAAGGAAACCAGGAGCACATTTTCTCATAGGGCCAGAGCATTAATTTACTCTGTGTCTTTTCTTTCAGTGTTGTCATCATGTTGTAAGTGGATGAGTCATGGACAACATTTTCACACACGTACATGGGTTCCATCGACCAGGCTTGAGGACAACTGGATTTCTTTTCTTTCTTTGTTTTAAAAAAGAAGACAAGTCAAGATAAAGCAAATAAAAATGCTCGGCACATTTGCTGAAATCTTAGCAAAATCAAATTACTAGTAATTTGTTAATCACACTATACTATTTTGAGCTAATCCTACTTAACCCACCCTCCATCTTCCTTATGCTTGCCTCCCTGGTGAACTCCTATTTATGTTACAAAGCTCAGTGTTTATGTTACTACTTTGGTGCTATTTCTGAACATTAAACGTACCTCTATTATAGAACATATCTCATGGAATAGTTATTATTGCATATCCTCTGCCCTTGTTAGTCTGTGAATTTCCATCTTCTCTTTTCCTTCCTTCCTTCCTTCCTTCCTTCCTTCCTTCCTTCCTTCCTTCCTTCCTTCCTTCCTTCCTTCCTTCCTTCTTTCCTTCCTTCCTCTCTCTCTCTCCTCCCTCCCTCCCTTCTTTCCTTCCTTTTCTTTGAAATTTGAGAGAGGGTGTCACTCTGGCACTCAGGCTAGAGTGTAATAGTACAATCGTAGCTCACTGCAGCCTCAATTTCTCAGGCTCAAGCAATCCTCCTGCCTCAGTCTCTGGCGTAGTGGGACTACAGGCACACACTACCACTCCTGACTTAAAGCCTGTGAGTTTCTTGTAGGTAGGATTCATAACTAATGTGTTGCCATGTCTTGGCACATAGAAGGTATGGTATGCAGAATTCTTTTTTTTTCTTCCGAGATCGAGTTTCACTCTTGTTGCCCTGGCTAGAGTGCAATGGCATAATCTCAGTTTACTGCAACCTCTGCCTCCTTGGTTCAAGCGATTCTCCTGTCTTAGCCTCCGGAGTGTCTGGGATTACAGGCATGTACCACCACACCTGGCTAATTTTGTATTTTTAGTAAAGATGGGGTTTCTCCATGTTGATCGGGCTGGTTTTGAACTCCCAATCTCAGGTGATCTGCCCACCTTGGCCTCCCAGAGTGTTGGGATTACAGGCATGAGCCACTGTGCCTGACTGAGAAGGTGTGGTATGCAGAATTCTAAGATCACTCCCAAAATCCCCAACCCCTCTGGTGTCCATATCCTAGAAAATCTCTTCTGCTTAAATATGAATGGGGCCTGTGAATATGATGGCCGTCACTCTCTGATTAGATTACATTACATGGCTGAGGTGAAGGAATTCTGCAGATATATCTAAGGTCCCAGATCAGTTGATCTTGAGTTACTCACAGAAGAGAGAATACTGTGTGGGCCTGCCTTAATCAGGGAAAAGCCCTTAAAAGAGGACTGGATTCTTCCCGAAGGGAGTCCACTGTTGGCTTTGAAGCAGTAAGCAGCTGTGTTTTAAGGGGGACTACGGAGGGTCCCATGCACCAAGGACATAAAGGGTGGCCTCCAGGAATTGACAGCAGTTCCCAGCTATCGGCGAGCAAGAAAACAGGTGGCTCAGCCACATAGCCACAAGGAAATAAATTCTTCCAACAATCTAAATGACCTTGGAAGTGGATTTTTTTTCCATGGTCAAGCCTCCAGATGAACACCTTAACTGTAACATGAACAGCTGAGCAGAGGACCCACTTCAGCTACTCTTGGTCTCCTGACTTGTGGAAACTGAGATAATAAATGTGTATTATTTTAAGTCAGTAAGGTTGCCATAATTTGTTATATAACAATGCCTAATACAGTAGGCATCTTAAATGTTTGTTGAACTTAATTTAATCAGGGAAATAGAATATTTAAAATGAATCTTTTCTAAAGTTTTAGCCAATTTAGTGAACACAGCTATCTTAAAGAATTGCCATCTTCCCTTGGATCTTCTAGCCATGCAATCGACTTCACACACTTCCAAGTTTTCATAAATACCAGCTTCTGATTGTCTAGAAACAGGAAGTGAGATTCTCTCCAGCTGTCATTTGGCATTCTTGGGAGACAGAATGGATAAAAATTGATGTTGAAATGAGACCACCATCATTTTTCAGGCTGCTCACCATGTACAGAGCTCAGGATGATTAGAAAATGTAAAACACATGTGAGTGGCTCAAACCCCTTTAGTTAAATCACAGTTACATAGATCAGTTTTCCCAAGGGACATAAGATAGCTGAACTTAAGCAATTAAAAAAAATAAAACTAAACTAAAACCTTTTGCTAAAGCCAAAAACCATGGGTGAGTTAAACCATATCAGATGGAATGGTTTGTTTTGAGAAGTGTTTGGTTTGTTGTCTGTATATGTGCATGCTTTTTAAAAAGGCAGATAGAAAAGCAGAACTTGCAAGATCTTTAGCTGCGGAGGTGGAAAGCCAGCAGTACTTCCACCACAGCAGTTGATATCATCGGTCTCACCAGCAGGTCAGGGATTTGTTGTTTGCTCTCTGCGACATCCTTGAACCATCGTAGGGACCATGGCAGAGAGAGGGACGGTGAACAGGGCTGAAAACAAAATTGGACCCAATCTTGGGCTTGGTGTTCCACCAAGAGCAGGTTTTCTGGGCCTTGAAATACCATCTCAGAGGGACCTGCCTTGATATTCTGCTATGTTGAGAACAAGAACAAACTTTCTGGCCTTGGAGCATCTTCCCTCCCAGTGCCACCATGTTCGTTTTCATTTGCCCTTGGCTAAATGCCGCTTCCTGTTTCTAAGAAAAGAGGCAGAAAGAGCCTTTTGAAGGCCTCACAGACAGTCTCAGAAGGCTTCACGGGCAGCAAATAACTCTCAGCAAACAAAAATTTGATGAGTTAAGTGTAAACGGCTCAGAGACATATGGATTACATTTTTTGGGAAATACACATGGGCTTACAATGTAAAACTGGGCAGTGTGGGGGTGGGGTGGAGAAGGGAATGCTTGGAAAAATGTGGTTTGGGTCTTGCCAATTGCAAAATATTTGAAACAAATACTTTGAGATGTTTTGCCCAACCTACAGCGTGGTTAGATTCGCCCTTTCCATCTATTTACGTGTCATTTTCAGACTCGGCTCACATACCAATACTGGTTTGGGTCTTGAGTCGATTTTTTAAAATGCAGCTACTTTGAAAGGTCATACCATGTGATTTCTGTGTAGCCTCTGAGCATGAAGGATGGGGTGGTGTAGGAGAAGAACTAGGCATTTAGAAACCTCTCTGCCTGTGGGCCAAACTGCTGCTCAGCTCTTCTGGTATATTCTAGTTGTGGAGGTTCCAAATCCAGCCTGTGCTAGTGAGATGTAGCAGCCTCAGTCTCCCCACCTGTAAAATGGGGACAGTAATACTTATCCCAGAACCCACGGTGATTGGGATGCTGTGTGGTGTGGAGTTGCGGGTGTGGACCCTGGAGGCATCTCTGTGCATATCCCAGCTCTGCTGCTGGTGCGAGCTTGGGAAAGTTCTTCAGCCTCCCCAGGCTTTTGTTTCTTCATCTGTGTAATGAGGAATGTGTTAGCATCCACCACTAGGGTTACCTTGAGAATTAAAAGATTTAACCCAGTGCCCGGCACACAATAAGTGTCCAGCAAATGCTAACAGAGGCTCTTATTGTTTATAATTTCTCTTGTTCTATTAAGCATATGAACATAGCAGGAAATAAGGCAAGTTCACTTGTAGTCTGGGGAGAGGAATAGTCCCTTACTCAAACTGTGAGGATCTCCTTCAGCTTACCTTCTTTTTCTTATTGTTTTAACTTACGGATTAATTATCTATTTTTGTGACCCCAAAATAAAATGTAGATTCTTTGGTCTAAAATTAGGCTCATCTTGTCCCCATCTTAGGAAGGATTCATTTCTCTCTTCTACTTTACCACCATCTAGCACCTGGAGACACTTGGTTTAAGAGCCCAGATAGCTTGTGCTAGAGTGCCAGGGAATTCTGAGGGCTCAAGTGGAAGGAAAGCATGATCCCAGAGTTTTGTTGGGTTAACACATTGCTTCTCAACACTTCCTGCACATTAGAATGAACTGGAAGCATTAAAAAAGTGATAGAGGTTTTGAGTGTGGGGCTTGGCTATTAGTACAGTTTTCAACCTCCAAGTGCTTCTATATTGCAGCCAGGACTGAGAACCACCCTGACTAAGGCATTCAGTGGCATTGCAGGTGCATCCCTTGGTTGTTTCTGACTCACCCCTTTTAACTCACTGGTCCCTTGGACTCTGATTTCTGCCCTCCATGCAGTGGGTGAACTTTCCTCTGGGGCTCTGCCCTGAGGTCTGCAGGAGCAAGGCCATTTCCTCTCTCAACCCTAGACACAAGCTTTGGGTCAGAACTGCCACCTATGTGGAACCCCGCCCTTCCCCTCTGCTCTGTCCTGGGGGATCTTGTCTGAATCCATCCCTTCTTTGCCTGCCTTATGCCTTCTAGCTGCTGTTTCTCTGCTCCTCCTCTCTTGACCAGCACTGTTCTGCTGTTTCCAGTCCTTTTTTCCACTAACCATTGACTGCCCTTTGCTCTGTCAAGCATAGTTTTAGAGGCTGTGTAGTGTAGTGAAAGAACAGGGAATTTGAAGTTGGACCTGAGTTTAACTGCTGACAAGTTATTTAACCTCTCCTCATTTGTAAACTAGCAATAATCTGACCTGGATGAGGCTGCTGTGAAGATGAAAGGACATAAAGTAGGGATGATGGTGTGGCAGCAGTGGCCTGGTGAGAATGATGGTGGTGGAGTGATGGTGATAATGAGAATGATGATAATGGCAATGGCGGCGTTGGGGTGAGGGTGTCGATGTGGTGGTAGTGGTGATTTTGGTGGCAGATGATGGCTGTAGTGATGGGAATGGTGGTGATGATGGTGGTGGTGGTGGTAGTAATGGTGACTGTGATGGTGGTGCTGATGATCCTGGTAATACTATAGTGGTAGTGATGATGGTAATGATGGTGGTTTGATGGTAGTGGCCATGGCAGTGGTTGTAGTAATGATGATCATGAGTTGGTGGTGGCGGCAGTTGAGGTGGTGGTGGCGATGGTGGCAGTGGTTTAGTAGTAAAAGTTCAGTCAAGAAAGCAGAAGGCTGGAGGAAGCATCAGTGTTCTGGTCAAAGGAACCACATGGGAAGCACAGACAGAGGGTCTTTGCATTTGCAAAGGCCATGGGAATAGCTGCTCGTATCAGTTAGTGTTTGATCAGGAAATCAGAGCTACTCTGTATGACGTGGAATAAGGGATTTATCATAGGGATTAGACTTACTCATTATGAAAACTAGTTCAAAAGTCTAGGCAAGGCTGTTGCCTCTGTATCTGGTGTCGGGCTTGACGTTTCTACATGTCAGCAGGGCCTGCAGATGGGACAGAAAGCTGGATGG